TTGTCTCCTCCTCGTGCTTAGTGAGCTTTGAAGAGTTGGGATGGGTATCGCGTCGGGCAGCTGTTCTGGCGCATCGGTCACTAAGCGTGCTTTGAAGAACATCATAGAGAGCAGCAGCATGTCGCTGGCTTAATGACATGTCGGATTTCATCGCTTGGATAGCAAGGATAATCCTATCCTCACGAGGGAGCGATTCAAGATCAGGTTGTTGAGACATTGAGATAGGTGATTGAAAGAGGTGTGATCTTGGCAGGGTGAACGACTCGCTTACCTGACCGACTCGCTTGCCGCTCACATTAATCCACTCACGATTACCATCTTGAATAGCTTGCTTAGTCCCCCCATCCTCATATCTCTGTCGGGAGAAGATGCGCTTCGTTTTTGATAGCACGCCAATTAGGAAGCCCTTCTCATCTATATTGTAGATATTTGCTGGCTCTATCTCATATTCCTCGATTTTGCGCTTCAAGAGCTCGAAATATAGGGTGTACTTGAAGGCAGAATCAGCTCTTTTTCTTTCCTTGTCTAAGCCAGTCGACCATCTTGATACTAGATCAACTTTGTGATGCTTCAGGGATCGATCCAGCCATGAGCTGCCTACTTGCTGGCCACTTATCTCACTAGCAAAGTTGTGTAACATATTCTTTGTTGGTAGTAGGCCTCTCTTACATAGTCTCTCAATATACTGTACAAGTTCCTGCTCTTGACAGTTATTTAGAAGTCGCTGGTTCTCATATTGAGTTGCATGGGAGCCCTGGACCTTGCGCCACCTTCGCGACAGTGTAGATCGCTCCACACCATACTTTTTAGCAGTTTGAGAGATGTTGACTTTTTTTCCAAGCTCTAGCGATTCTAACGCTGTAATTGCCTCCTCAATTGGGTCCATATTGATGGAGTTGCTATTATATTGAAATTTTCATATTCTAGCGAAAGTGTGCGACAGGTGAAACCGTGCGCCAGCTGATTAAACACGGTAGTCTCTAACTAAGCGTTGCTGCCAGTGGTCCTCCCACAATGAGTTCCTCCCATCCATCCTACAACCCCATCTTTGTATACGTCAAGTGAAATCCGTTCACCACAAAACCGAAGACAGCTTCTCCTTGCATGCCACCGTTGCACGGTTACTTTAAGCCTTCCCAGTCGACCCCAGCATATCACAACACGACTCTACAGCCTTCTGCATCCTTAACGTCGCCTCCTCAATAACACTCGTAAACGGAGCCTTCGTTGCCTTCTCCGCCCACACCTCCTGGCAGGGATTATTTAACACCTTGTTGATATTAATCTTGCTGACACCATGGCCAATGCACTTCTGAAAGATCTCCTTGGTGAACGGATCCGCTCCATGCAGCACCAGCCGGACCTTATCTCCCACCTTTTGCCGTATGGACTCTAGACGGCCGTATTCCAGCTGGATGCCCCTAGGGCCGTAGTTTCCGTGGACATTGCCAAAGGCCGGAGCGAGCCAGTCGATGCCGCAGTCGACGAATTGCTGTGCTTCCTCAGGGGTAGTTAGAAGTCCCTCGAGGTCTTCCGTGTCGCCTACGCCGTCCTCCCCGCCTTCGATCCTGCCCGGTTCCGCTTCACAGGCAATGCCTCTTTCGTGACAGTACTTGGTCAACTCGGCCGTCAATCGCAGGTTCTCCTCCTTATCGTAGTGACTCATATCGATCATGATGCTATCGAAGCCGCCCATATCGGCTGCCTTCTTCACGATCTCTGGGTCTTGTGCATGGTCGAGATGGACGGTTACAGGGACCGAGGCCGATCGCGCGGCTTCTGCTGCCAGGTGCACGAGGCATGAGTTCGCGTAGTGGATCGCCCAGGGAAAGAGAAGAATCATGGCCGGCGACTTCTTTGCTTCGGCGGCTCGGACGGTCGCGAGGATGCCCTCCGTGTTGTAGCAACACATGGCCGGTATGCCATAGCCCTCATCTTGGGCTTTGTTGAGAATGGGAATTGCGCGGTTGGATTCCATGGTTGCGGTTTGAGACTGTTTGCAGAAGAAATTGCAGAAAGGCGTCTTCAAGTCTTAAATTGCCAATATTCGACAACGGCAGTCGTGTCAGGGTTAAAGACAACTCGCAATTCCCGAAGTCGATTTCAGAGCTCCAGAAAATAATACCTCAACAATATCGGCACCTTATCACAGGAACCCAACAGCAGACCTCGGTGGGGCAGCACCATATACATTGCCCGGCTTACTCGTTTTGGTATTCCCAGTCGGTCAGAGTTCCGACGCAAACAAGAGCCGACAGCGCTGTTTCGTCATAACGTCCCCTAGTGCGGGGTTCAGATGTCTGAATACGAACGTGGGGAAAGCTCCCTTTTGCCGGTTGGAAAACCCTTTCAAGCATTTTCTTACAGAAAAAGGTCGTTCCGAGAAGCTGTGAATTGAGGGTGCGGGACGGGAGACGGCTCTGAGAAAAAGGATATTGGGTTTCCCTCTTTTGGTCGGGCGTTCGCAACTATCCCTCTGTACCTGCATCTACTCTTTTTCTGTTGCTATATACCCTTGCTTCTTCCTCCTTGGATCCAGCTTTCACCCAACTCTCCTTCGACTTAGACTAATACGACAACAACCTCTACACCACCCATCTTGGAACACTGTAAACAATGTCCAGCAAACCCGCCATCGGTTTCGCCGGCCTAGGAGCCATGGGCTTCGGCATGGCCACCCATCTTGTAAAGCAAGGCTATCCCGTCACCGGCTTCGATGTCTGGGACCCAACGCTCGAGAAGTTTGCTTCTGCAGGAGGTACCCCGTCCTCCACGCTCTCCGACTCCGCGAGAGATAAAAGCTACTACATTGTCATGGTCGCGACGGCGCAGCAAGCACAATCCGCGCTCTTCGACGCCCAAGAGGGAGGGAACATCGTAGATAGCTTGCCCCAAGGGGCGACGCTGATTCTGTGCTCCACGGTGCCGAGTGCGTATGCACAGAGCGTGGAGAAGCAGTTACAAGAGCGGGGCAGGAGTGATATCCTGTTCATCGACGCCCCGGTCTCCGGAGGCGCAATTCGTGCTGCGGATGGGACTTTGTCGATCATGGCGGGTGCGTCTCAAGCTGCTATTGAGAAAGGGAAGTGGTTGCTGGAAGAGCTATCTGCACCATCGAAGCTGTTTATCGTCGAGGGCGGTGTCGGTGCCGGGAGTAATATGAAGATGGTGCATCAGGTGCTTGCTGCGATCCAGATTCTGTCGACGAGCGAGGCGTACGGATTTGCGGCGCGGTTGGGCCTCAACGGCAAGGAGGTGCGGGATAAGATTGTGGGAAGCCCGGCATGGAGCTGGATGTTCGAAAATCGGAGTTTGAGAACGTTGACGGAGGATTATTTCCCTGGAGCCAGCGCCGTGGGCATCATCATGAAAGATACGGTAGGCTCTCTCCCCCTACTCTCCACCTTTGGAATGGAGCTGACAAGTATTCCAGGGCATCATCACCTCCACCGCCCGTCTCCACTCGTTCCCCTCCACCCTCGTCACCGCCGCAGAACAAGTGTATTTCTCTGCTGCTGACCGCGGCTGGACACCTCACGATGACGCTTCGCTCGTGCGCCTCTGGACCGCGGACCCCGTCACCTCTATCCAGAGCCCCGCTTCACAAGAGGAGAAGTCGTCGAAACTCGACCTCGTCGTTTCCCTCCTTACAGCCATCCACCTCGTTGCCGCGGCCGAGAGTATCGCATTCGCCAAACACGTGGGACTGCCTTTGAAGCAGCTGTACGAATTGGCGGTTGAGGCGGCGGGTGGAAGTGCGATGTTCAAGGAATTTGGGCCGAGGATTATTGAGGTGTTGGAGGGGGGAAAAGGGGGTGAGGAGGCGTTGGGCCGCTATTTGGAAGGATTGAGGAGGGCGGTTGAGGAGGCGCAGAAGATCAAGTGTCCGCTGTTTTTGGGAGGGGCGGCGTTGAATGTGTTGTTGGCTGCTGGGCGGAAGGGGGAGGTTACGTTGGGGGGTTTGCTCGGGGAGTATAGTGTGCTGTAGGGAATGTGTGAGGAGTGTAGATGATACCAACTCGAAGAGAATCGCTTTAGATAGATTTTATTTCGGAGTCGACTTCTTATCTTCACTGCGGCTGGCTTCATATCTCTCTGCCATGCACGCCTAACGCTGCCAGATAGAAGGACTTCCAACTTTCTCCAGCCAAGATCACACGACGGAGGAAAGTCTTCCAAATTTGGGGTGCCAGGTATATTTACCCATATAATACGTATTCAAGCGTTTAATTCATAGTCCAACTTTTTCGAGCAAGTGGACGGGGAAGGGGACGGGGACGCTTTCCAGACAATCAATCTCTTCGCCGAGGTAACAAACGGGAGGACGGCGAGGCGCAGTTTACGCCATCTAAAACGAGCATGCAAAGGAGATTTGAGGGACAACCCGTCAAGCCTGGACTGATGAGGTGGTATCTGATACATGAAGAAGTTACGCCATGCCCCGGCCGCAAACACCAATCTCCTCTTATATGAAAACATTCCGGGGAAGAAAAAAGAATAAGAAGATCGAATGAAGTAGCCCCTCACCTCCTGACGCCCATTACACCCATTACACCATCTAACTCCTACTTACGCCCATCTAACCCCGACCCCCCGTCCGCGCAACTAACAGCACAACAACGCCCGACGTGCAAAACGACAATCAACGTTTGAACAAAAAGAAGAAAAAAATAAAAAAAGAAATAAAAGTTACCAACAAACACCTCAATCCATCTCCACCACCACCGTCACCCGTCCATTAGCCCACACAGCGTATCCAATTTCCACCTTTGCGTCCTCCCAATCCCGCTCAGACGTCATCTCTTTCAGCCCCGAGGTCAGCATGACCTTGACCTTGACATTGTGAGACATAGAGTCGACTAGCTGTAGCCGCTCCTGGTTATCCTTTTGCGCCTGCGGCTTCTGAGTTCCCTGCTCCGTGCTGCTGCACTGGGGAGTATCGCTCTTCGACGACACTGGGCATTGCGAATTTTGATCCCCAAGCGGCGCTGTGGTGGAGGAAGTGCTCGTGGTGTCGTTATCACCGGTGACAGTATGGGCGGACGTGTCGACGCCCTTGATACTCGACTCGCCCGAATAAGCCTCTGGCTCCGTATTCGTAGGCGCGGCAGAGACGTCGAAACTAGATTCCCGAACGGCCGCAGATCCCACATTCTCACTCGTCTCGGCCTCACCACCCACCGCCCCTTCTCGCACCGCACAACTCTCCCTAGCCGCAACAGCGAGCCCGCGCAACTCCTCCGTTACCATTCCCCCTTTCACCTCCTCGGACCTCGCATCTATCTGTCCTTGTCCCCCCAATGCAGGACGCAAGTCCGGATACATGGCCAGCGCCACATCTACACGCTGGCGAACCTTCTGCTGCAGCTGATGCCAGGAGAAATCCATCAAGGGGCCGGGGCCGACGATACGATCGGAGGGTTTGAGAGGGATGTCATTGTGGGAGAGGAATATGTCGATTTTGCGGAGGGAGAAGGCGCGGGTTGCAGGTGTGGGGAGCGGGCGCTGTTTGATCTTTGAGGGAAGGGTCGAGAGTTCCAGGTGTGGTGATTGCGGGAGGACGGGGATGGAAGGGTCGGTCTGTAGGGTGTGGGACATATCGTTTGTGGCTCCAGAGGGATAGTGATAGAGTCTTGTTGGTGATGTTGAGGTCTGGGGGTGTGGATGGTGGACTGGGAGGGGAATGGCAGAGTTGCTGGATTATCGTTAGTTTTATAGATTGCGACGTCCTCAGAATGAAGAGACAGCTTACCTATCATGGGAAACATTCTGCGTCGCTCCTCCCTGGTCGCCCATAGCGGCCATATGCGGTCCATGGCTCCCCTGCCTGCTCCCAGCACCCGTACTCCCATCCTTCTTCTTCAACCCACCCTTCCTCGTCTCAATGGCATACATCCTCTGCCGCTCATTGGTAACCATCCTCCTCAACAATGGCGTGACAAGACTAATGATCTTATTCCCATCCCTCGGCCACACCAACTTGCCCTCGGCGGGAACCCCCTCCGCACCCAACGCCCTAGCAGCCTCAATGGCATCGTCCTCGGCCGGCTTCTCCACCTCCTCCCCGAAGAACATGTCTCCAACGCCATCATTTAGGAAGTCGCGCACGGTGTTGAACAGCTTCAACTTGACCATATCCGTGTCCCCCTTGCCACGATTGCCAACGCAATTCTGGCGTTCCGGATGCGAAGGGTCCAGCATATACGCCTTGGCTCGAGCCTGCAGCTGGACGAAGTTCTCTGGGGTGAGTTGCAACGACATGAAAAGCTTCGACATGGGCGGCCGCGTGTACTTCCGCGCGGGCTCTCTGGTGGGTCTGAACAGGGCGGCGGCGGAATGGACGCCGACAGCGCGAGCGTCTTGAAGGAGCCGTTCCGCTGGAGGCGACATGCTGGTTCCTTGTATATTTCTTGCTTCGATCTCAGCTCCATGGACGTTAGGATCGGTAGGGGCGTCGGTCCTCAAGCGCTTGGGCATGGGAGCCACATCTCTTTGGACCTGATTACTTCCCGTACCACCTCCATCGCCTCTCTCAGGACTCTCCTGCCTCCTCCTCTTTCCCAGCGCAGACATCTGTACCAACTTCGGACCCTGTATCTCCTTATTCATGATAGCGTCGGCGGCCTGACCGGCGGCAGTAGTAGCAGCCTCAATCAGCTCGACCAAATTGTGATTCTCTCCCAGGGTTACAGCAGCAGGGCGGGTCTCTGAAGTTTGGCTGTCATCGTGCTCACCAGAAGCAGAGAGCGACGATGCATGATGTGTCGCCAGCGGATCGGGGAGGACATAGTCGTGGTCGTCGATGCCAGGCGGGAACGCGGCGGCGTTTGCGCCATTGGTGAACTGGCCGCGGATCTGGTAGTAGGGCGCGTTTGTCGCCATGATCTACTTGTCGTAGGTCGTATTTGTCCCCTCGGCTCCAGACTCCCTTCGTCCACAGACCCCCAGAAACTCGGAAGGGAATGCCTCTATAACAACCAAGCCCTTGAGTAGACTCGCAACGAAGGAGCAGAACGAGGACGATTGCCGACGGCCTCAAGGGACGCGCGGATGGTGGACTTGGACGAGGACGAGGGACAAAGAGGCTCGAAGCTTGCGAGACGAGTGACGGGCTTTTGAACGCGACATGTTTGGGGTGTGGGATGTGTGGATGTGGGCCGAGCAAATGGTGCTGCTGATTGCTCTGTTCAATTGCGTTGTCGAGGACAACAAGCAAGAGGGCAGAGCGGCCGCCAGCGCCGTTTGTTGTTGCGGGTCGGGACGTCGCGCGGTTGGGTCAGGAGCGGCGGTTTGTGTTGTTTGCATAAGCAGACTCAGGAGATGGGTGATCTGTTTGATGCAAAAATGGAGTGAATTCTTGGCGCATTCCTAAGGCACGTTCCGGACGTGCCGACGATGACCAAGAATATGTACGTTCTTTAGAATCGTCTCACCGAGTTGGTCATTTCATTATTACTAAAAGGTCGACTGGTTCCTCCTCACATGAAAATCCACCCTCCAAGTCCAGTGCAAGTGTCTGCTGTGGTACGGAGTATGGTAGCTACAAAATCCTGCAGGATTGCGCTATCCTAAACGAGAATGTATCCAGGAATATCTACAATCCTTCCTGGTAAGCACATGGTATCCATATAAACACATCCCACAGACCCTCAAAAGTACACCTAGAACCCATCCCCCTCATGCCACACCCTCCCGGCCTCCATTGCCCGATTCTTCGGATCCTCCCCCCTCCGTCTCGCCTCCTCCTTCAACCTCTCAACAATCGGCTTCAACCTATCAATCTCCTTCTGATACTCCCTATCCTTGCCCTCCTCGGGCCTTTCCAACTGCGCCGCCTCCTCGACCTTGCCCTGCTTCTCCGCCTCCTCAATCGCCTTCTTCTTATCCTCCCAGTTCCTCAACTTGCCCTCCCAATCGCCCAGCTCCCTCTTATACTCGGCGAAAGCAGCCCACTCGGCCTCGCCCCCGAAACAGCTGCCGTACTGGTCGCAGAAGCAGATGTGCTCCTTGGGACAGTAGACATTGGACCCCGTGAAGACAAACTGCCAGATATACTCCCACACGCGGCCCGACAGATGATCGGGCAGCTTTGTATTGAACAGCCAGTTCCGGTACCAGACGTATTGCGCCAGGGGCAGGGCGTGGATGCGTTCCCTCGAGAGGGCAAACTGCGCGCAGCACGGTTGGGCGAGCACGTCGGGGACCTTGTCGAGGGGGAACAGTTCGCTCCAGCTCTTGGCCAGGAGGATCTCCTCCTGCTTGTAGACGTTTTCCTTGGTCTCGCCCGGGTGCATCCAGTCCGGGCAGCCGGGGTACCAGGAGCATCGCATGTTCACGAAGCCCTCGCGCCAGACGCGGGGGCGGGAGAGCCGGCGGACGAGGTCGGCGGCGTCGTGGCCGAGGATGTCGTCGTTGTGCCAGGCGAGCTGGTGGGCGTGCATGAAGATGGAGACGTCCGGGAGCGAGTCGTAGTGGTCGATGATGTAGGATAGGTAGACCATGACCTCGTGGCCCTTGTTCTTGGGCGGGTGCAAGGGAGCCGAGGGGTCGTCGGCGACGTAGACGGCTTTGGGCTGGTCGGGGATCTCCTTGTCTATCCAGGAGACGTCTTCCTTTTGGGTGCGCGCAATGACGAGGACCGAGGTGTAGTTGTGGTCGGCGGGCATGGGGCTGCCCGCCTTGAAGTCGGGTTTGGGATTCCAGTTGACATAGTTTGGGTCGCCCGTCCAGGCTCCATAGGGAGCGTCGGGATTGGAGTCGTCAATGTGTTCTCCCAGGCCCACGCGTTGAGGTAGTTGCCGCCAAGTATCGGCTACGGAGGAGCTGTAGTAGAGGAAGAAGATGGCGAATGCAAGGGCGAGGCCGACGAAGCCCACGCGCTTCCTCCTCGACATGGTGGCAGAGAAACGTGGGTGCGCAAAGCAGCACAGCAGAGCGCTCGTGCGAGAAGAGTGGATTAAATCATCGAAACGCGCCTGCTGTGTCGATTCGCCCGGTCTCAGCGGGGCAGCTGGCAAAGAGGACAGACAACGTAACGTCTATGTCAGATGCGAGAGCGAGGCGGCTGAGGGCTTTCATTGAAACCCGCACCAGAAGAGGGCACAGTAATGGAGAGATTTCAATCTGATACTGGGGCGTATCTACGGCAAGCGTCGCCCCATGGTGAGCTGTGGAGAGGCGTACTTGTGATTATTGATTTCACCGAAAGCACGCAAGAGGAGAAGTCAGCATGGGGAAGAAGCTCCGGGGTGGGCGATCAAACGGGCGCCAATTCAGCCCCTCCAACGGCTGCGGGTAGAGGCAGACGCCACTCCATAGACTTTCCTCTTCACATGAACTTACACCATATTAATAAGCTACCGCTAGTCCAGGCAGAGAAGGCTCAACAGTGGTTCACAAGCCTAGGCTTCGTTCTTCTTCTATTAATAACCTCAGGAGCATCATCGGAGAGTACTTGTACTGTGTAGATACTCTGTCGGTGGTGGCGCACGACATTGATTTAGCCGTTTCCCCAAAGTGATAATACTGTAACGATGGTGTCCCTACTACAACCATATAGGGAGGTAACATGCACTTGACACGGGGGTACAACATCTAGAACGATGAACCTCTTGATTGACATTTGCAACGTTGGGGAATGCTTTCTACTTGAATAGGTGCCTATACATGGACCCATTTGACGTGCCTTGCGCTCTGGTCTTTGAGACGCCCGGGGGAGTCGTTCTGATGCGAGCACGAGTATCCCACTCGTCCATTCGCAATGCTAGGCATGGTTACACATCTTTGAAACCATTGCATCTGTTTTGCCCTTTTACATGCACAGTGCATCAATCAAGCGGCTGCCAGAAGCTTTGGCCTACCATGGGTGCGTCACGATGCCACCCGGGGCCAGCGGTCCGCCCATGTATGCCGCAAATACTCCGTACAAATGTTGATGAAGCCCGTTTCCCTTGCGGAGGTGGATGCTGTGGGTCAGTTGTGAATGAAGTGCATTGCACAATCCAGAAAACATGCAGGTGCCGAGACCAAGAGCAAACAGTCCATCAAAGCGTATCAAGGGAAATGAGCAACAAGGAAACAAGATCACGCACCTGCTCTGCTGATCAGCTTTGACCACAGCATATGACCGACCATACGCATATCGTCGGCCTCCAGGAGAAAGAAACTCGGATGATTCGCCTATGCGTCGCATTCTCCCTCGGATGGAAGAGACTGTCCGCCTCGACGTTGACATCGTCACATGTACGTTTTGGCGCAGGCGAGTTGGTCATCTTAGATATACATCGCGAGTACGGCATGAGATGGAAGCTCCGAAGTTGTGTCCTTCGATCGGGACTACTGATCGACTTGCAATTAAAGAGTCGCTGGCAAGATTCAAAACAGCTGCTGAACGCCGACGCTGCCTGAAATGTCATTGGAGATGGTATTGAACAGTGCTGAATGCGGGCTTGTGGACCTTGACCAGAGTATATCTTGATGCCCTGAGTCATCGCGCAGTGGACAGGCTTAGAAGTACAATTTAGGTGCCGATGCAGACGAAGACGAATCATGTTCCCAGGGATCAAAAGTTGCGGCGTTGTAAGCCTTCTCGCAGAGTTGTTACCGTGTGCTCAAGGAAATCCTCCGTATGCCGAAGACCGAGATGAAAGTGGCATCGGCTCCAAGACCAGCAATGCTAGGAAAGCATGCCATCGTGCGCCCTGCCGTGACCCGACCCATATTGAATTACTTTTGTCGACGCTTATTCCCGAGCCTGAGTGAAGAGCTGCTTGAAACCGAATCGCACCAAGTAGAGAAGTGTACGTTTACATGACTTGAGCGATGAGGAGTGGGTACCGACATGATGTCCGATTCAGATACTCAGTACCGCTTCGTTTCTGGAACAGTCAGCAAGACCACTATCGGGAGTACCGGGCATCGTCACCACGGTCATCGTAGGGCCTGCTCCCTCCAGAGTAAGCTTCCGGGCGAGGCGGAGGGGCGTCACCGTATCCTCCAGCTGCAGACGGAGGCGGCGGGCGTTCGTAATACCCACGGCGGTCATCACCACGGCTAGAGTAGCGATCATCTCGCGAGTAGCGGTCACCGCCACGTCGGCCATAGTCATCACGGTCGCGGCCGTAGCCACGGTCCTCGCGGTCGCCATAGCGAGAGCCACGATATCCGCCATAGTCATCGCGGCGACCACCAGAGTAGCCTCCACGACGGTCATCGTAGCGATCGCCGTACCTGCCTCCGCCACGGCCACCGCGGCCACCGAACTCTGTTGGACGGGTCAGCGGGTGTCGACAACCGCAAAAGAGTGGATCAACTCACCTCGCTTGGGCGGGCCGTAGTACTTGCCCGGAGTGGGAGTACGCGGGCGGGCTCGGCGCGCCTTCTCGATGCTCAACGTCCTGCCTTGATGAACCTGGCCCTGGAGCCCTTCCTTGGCGGCATCAGCCTGCTCTGGTGTGACCATCTTGACGAATCCAAAACCGCGCGACTCCTTGGTGTGAGGGTCACGCATGATGTTGCACTTCTCGACCTCTCCATACTTCTCGAACATACGCGTCACATCCTCCTCGGTAAGGCTGGGGTGGATGCCCGTCACGAAGAGGTTGGAGCCTGGGTTGCGTGCACCATCGTCCTCAGCGCCGCCGCGAGAATCGGGCGGTGGACCGCTGTGTTTTCGTTAGGTTTGGTTTCTCCCAAAGCAGTGTTGCGTTGGTGTAGCTTACCGGTTGTCGTGTCCTCCACCCGGGGAGGCACTGCGAGCTCGGGGGTCGACATCGCGGCGAGGAGAACGGCTCCTGTCGCGCTCATAGCCACGGGGCTCATCTACGCGTCCAGATCAGCAAATGCGCGAGAGTGACGATGAGGCTGGTGCTGCGTAACAGCTTCAAGACGTACCGTCATAGCCACGCTGTTCGGATTCGTACTCCATTGATGCCATGGTGATTTAGTTGTTGTTTTGGGTGGGTCCGTTGAGCCGCTGTTGAAATTTTGGCGACTGATCGACGAGCAATCGGCTTATGTAATCGCGTGCCTGCGAGGCTCCGCCTGGAAACGAGAAGGCGGGTGAAGTGGCCGAAGACGGCCGTGCAGCGAAGAAAGAAGGTGAAGAAGAGAGAGTGGAATAAATCAGCTCGTGGAGGTGAGCGGGGATGCGGCGAGGATTTTGAAAGAAGGAGGAGGTGAGACAAGGGGAACAAAGGGCGACTTTATTCTTCTTGGCAGGCTGAGGCGAAAGGTGCAAGGGGCAGCCATGCGCCCCCTGTTCACGTGCAGTGCATTGCGTTGCTAAAGGGCTCTCACCACAAGAAACCTTTTGGAGATGAAGAGAGAATTATAAAATAATGGCATTCTACCCGCCAGTGCCTAACCGGAAATATAGCAAAGCATCCGTCATACCAATACGGAGTAGAGGTGCCGAAGGTACATAGCCCACTAAAACCATAACCCACAGAAATCCCACACCAGGAGATACTGCAAACCGCGTCTCCAGTGAGAAAGCAAACCCACCAACGCCTCTCATCAAAGACTCCACATACGACAAACAGAGCCAGCCCACCCGTCGTATCCTACAGATGCCCAAATAATACACGGAGGCCGAAACAACTAGAATGGTCTCAGAACGGCATCCCGTACCAAATGTAAAACCTTCAGCTCATCTATATAAGCGCCTCTTCTTCGCTTTACGCACAACCTTCTGTGCTGGCGTTGCCTCTGGTACCGGTGCTGTGCCATCCCCGGGCTGGATATCGTCGGAGCCAACAAGTCCGTCAAGCTCATCGTCATCCATCTCGGTCAAGCACTCGCTCATTTCACGGAGGACATCTCTCCCGGTCCACTTTTCGTCATGGATTGTCGTGCCGACCGGATCGAAGGCTTCCATATACCAAGGGATACCTCCGTTTGCAAGCGGTGCAAGTAAGTCCTTTTCCGATCTAGGGGGCGTTATAGGCGCTTCGCCTGCTCCAGTGCCATGGTCGCTGGCTTCGGGGAGGTCGATCTCCATCGCATCGGGCTCGGCGCTTCGCAAGGCATCTCGGTTGAATTGCGCCGCAATTGCGGCTTCGTCTGCATCCTCATCCCTCGCTGCCAAGTGGGGGTCCGCAGAATTCTCCTCTGGTGTTGGGGCTTGGTTAGGCCCATGACTCTCCTTTGCAGTCACGTCGCTGTTGCTTCTATCCATCTGGTCAGGAGCCACGTGTGCGGATTCGCCCAGGTCGGTCTCGGTCGATGGCCGCACATGTTGTTCCTGGTTCAGTACAGGCGCATTCGTCTGGTGTCCCAGTTTCTGGTCGAGGAGAGCCTCCAAATCAGGTATGTCCTGCGCGTACGGCCTCCCGGCCAGGTCAGACTCTTTCCGAAGAGCCTCCTTGTACAACGGATGAATGGCCTTGATGATCCGCTTTGCCAATGCCTTGATCTGCTTTTGCTCAGAGGTGAGCGAGCTGTGTTCGACGCCGCTGAGCTGGTTCTCCGCTTCGCCCATATCAGTGACTGTCGCGAAGTCAATGACAGAGCTGAAGACTCCTGAAATGTCATTGCTGAATGCTTGTACCGATGTATAGAACTTCTCGTTGAGCTTTGCCTGTATGGCATTGAAGCCTTCAGAGAACAGACCCCTATTATCCAAGCTGTTCCAAGGTTAGCGGGACGACAGGCAGACAGCACGGATCAAACTCACCTCTGTGCTTTGTCGAGGATTGGTTGCAGAAGCGGCGGTATCGGGAAATACACTGTATCGATGATGTTCCTCAGAAGCAAAATATCCTCCAGTTTCGTAGCCTCCCTCTCCTTGACCTTTTCGCAGAGGAACTGGATTTGCTCCATGTCTTTTTCGAGCATCTTAGCGAATTCGATCCGCCGTTGTAGTCTCGGCCGTCCAGCAGCGCCCATTCCAGCGAAATCACGACGCGTAATCTCCATTGACGTGAACGCCTCCATTTGAAGCTGCAGACGCTTCAGCAGAGGAGCACCGCGACGTGCTTCCCGCTTCAGAGTCCAGTATTTGCATGCTTCTTGTACGAACTCCTTCCTCTTGCGTATGCTAAATCGACTGAGCGTGTGCTCTACGTTTTGATAGATCGCTTGCGGTATAACAGGCGCCCCTGACGGCAGTCTCCATGACTTCGTTGGCTGCTCCCGCTTTCGTTTGTTTCCAGGCGTTTCCTCCGCCACCTCTTCGGGGCCTTCTATCGACGGCTGAGGGAGTGCGGACCCTAGGGACAGAGCATAAGCCTGACTGTCACCCCAGTGCACATGGCGCATGGTGTGTCGGTAGAAAGCCTTTGCTTCGGCAACTGCTCGCTCTACATCATTTTCTTTCCGCCATTCTAGAGGAGTATGCCGATCACAGTAACCTCTGAATTCAGGGGGCCGTTCACGCTCCTCTTCCAAGCGACTGAATATATTCGTACGGAGGCACAGTCGAGCTTTCCTTGCACACGTTACGTGGAATGCCTCGAAGCAAGACTTGTGAGCACACTGTATGCAGGCACCCATCTTCTGCTTGCATATCATGCAGGTCTTCGGTGATGATGTCAGTTCGCATACGCATGATGATCGGGACTGGTTGACTTACGAGTTTCCAACGTGTCCTTGGCACCTTCTCAACATCTTGCACAGGTTCCATGAAGGTCGTATTCGCTATGGAGACCTCGGGGATAAAGAGAGCGCACAAGAGATGTGACCACTTCATGTTTGTGGTTTGCTTGAAAGCTCCATCCAGATTGGGACAGAAGATGCAGCCCTGAGGAAGTTAGTACCTTCTCAGTAACCAGGGTACGGCAAACCTACTGGATGATCGATACGCCCTACCAGCTGGCATCTCCGGCAAAGCCACTGTCCTTCTGGTATGAATGGCACTCCATAACATTCTTGATGCACCGCCAAGTCACAGCCGTCGCAGAACACAATGGCATTAGTATTTTCGCAATCGCCGTCGTCGCAAATCGCACACTTGGTGTCTTGCTCTTCACCCTGGCCTGCAGGCTCGCCATTCACGGCGGCTGCAGAGCTTGACCGAGGTCGATGAGTTTGCGGGGGCTTTGGGTTCGGTTTTGGTATGCGCTTCTCTAACGCATGCCACTCCTTCTCAATCTGAGTTATGGTAATCTCAAATATAGCAGGCTTGATAGGCTCTGCATTTTCCTCCCTCCGTTGCGCATTCACCTGCTCCAGCCATCTGTCGTCCTGTTCATCCATATCATATTCAACCCGTCCAATGGGAACGGCATGGATTGAGGTATCGAGATCCGACTTGAGGGTGAGATCCAGATCCTCTTCTATCGAACCCTCCGGCAGCCGGATGAGACTCTTCTCCGGTTTCACGAAAATCTCGCTCTCCTGGTATCCAAGATTCGCCATAGACTTATCGACGTAGTTGACCTTGACTCCTTCGCTCTCTTCGAAGACCTTGAACGGATCCACCTGGCGACATGACGGTTTAGGAAGATTCAGCTTTTCCTTCGGATTCATAGTCGGCAAAGGAGTTACGCGGGGAGCTGGCGGGGATCCAAGGCCATTGAGCATAGAGTCCAGCTTCCGGGGTGGACGCCCAACGCGCCTCCTCGCTGGGGTGACAAAGTTGCCATTGACAGCCCCCGGCCTGGGTATGTTGTTGGCATCCTGAGCTGCTTGAGCGCGCAGCGCCTCGTCCAGTATCGCAGAGGACTTGCTATCCACAGCAAAGTGATTCGTTCCTCCATTGACAGGTGTCCCGGGGGTCGATTGGGCGGGACTTATGCCGTCAACCTGATCCGCGCTGAAGACGGGGAACGCCGCTTCGATGTCCAAGTCCTGATGGAACTCCTCCCAGCCCCTCTCCTCCCTCGGCTTGTACCCGTCGGTCTGGGCCACGATGGCAGCTGCAGCTGCGGCCGAGCTAGACCTAGGTCCAGCAGGCGGCCGCTGTCGTCGAGGTCGAGTGTGCGTTGCGGATGGCGATGGTTCGGGGACGGGGATGCCCTGACGCTCGGCATTCAGTCTACCAATGCGGCCGCGAGGTCCGGTATATGCGTATCCTCCAGGTCCTGTTCCCCCGACGGGCGTCTCTTGGCCGTCTTCGTCGACGTATCTTCCCCCGCCACCAGGACCGCCGGGGATGTACCGTCGCTTCTTGAGCGGTGGTGCTGAGTCAGATACGGTGCGTCTCGGCGGTCGTCCCGCGCTCCGAACGCGTTGCCGTGGTGTCCCAGGAGTCGCTGCCATTGTGTGTCGAGGGCAGGAAAGCGCACAAAGACGAACAAAGAGGGGATGTTCTGATGGTATCCAGATGACGCGCCGAGGCGGGTGCTATGGGGCCGACAACGCTCACCGGAGGCGCGGAAACACCGGGAAAGCGGGTGATGAATGGCACATAGAGAGCACAGGGTGAAGGTGAATCCAGCGGCGACGAGGAGAGTGTGCGGACACGATATGGGGGGACGCGCCTGCGTTCTGCGCCCCAGGTGAGGTTGAAGAGGGAGGTTGAACGGGCCAAGTTAAGCTAGCTTGATACGGACTAGCGGTGCTTGTGGGCTCGTGGGTGGCAGGGATACGACGGCAGGCTCCCGCAAAACACCTCCACATCCACCGCCTTGTTTCGTTTGCCGCAGTACCTTAATCTGTGGGGTAGTATACGGTCAGGGACGTATTCTGGAAGAGAGGCATCCAAGCGGCCGACGGCAATGGCTCCGGGTAAGCGACAGGGCGACTCGGTATCGCACCCGGATTGCTATTCACTTGTGTGCATACTTCTCCGATATTGTATATTATTTGGTTTACCTTGCAGTGCAGATGTTCACACAGCGGAGTTGTACATCTTTGCGTCGAGATTCTCATCAGTGCGCCTAAGCTTCCGTCTAAACGGGACTGCAACGGTGCACCCCGGGTCCTCTGACCATAGATCAACTTTTCCGGGCGTACACTCGATGTCACTACCGCTTGATGTCTACTTGTGCATTGCTCCTCTGAGAGTAACGCATTCCTCGACTAATCATGATTGTCATTGAAGCTGGGTTCCATCAAAAACCGCGCCCTGTCGCTCCCGAGTGTCGACATGGTGCGTACAGGCCAAGCACTTGAATGCTTGTCTAGTCCCGGCCCAACATGCTTTATTTAAGTGGCTTGCTAGTTCAGGTACCGTTGAAAGTTGTGTGGGATTTCGATGTCCCATGTTTTTGTACAGAATGCGCTATTTTGCATCTTGATTTTCACTTGTCCATTATTTCTCTCTGTCAAGTCAAGCCTCCCACAGCAATGCCGGAAGGTCGATGAAAAGGGTGAATATTATCGTACCTGCTCGATGATATCCGTCCGTTCCAAAGATTGCATTACTTTGCGATGTAGCAGATATCCAGGTGCTGAGATCTAGCAGTCCCGGCTACACTTCGCGCTATTTCAGAGACAACATCTACAACAGGTTGCCTGGTATCGATTCCTCTGCTGCGATAAGAATCACTCTGTTCATCTCTGCCACCGTCTGCATCTCGGTCGTCTTCGAAAAAGGAGAAGTCGTTCCTTGCGGCCTCCCAGAAAGCATCCGAATCTCGATCATTGGTCGTGGACAGTGTCGGATGCTCCCACCAACTTGGAGAGGGTTTCTGATTGCGTGACATTGCTGTGGATCCGCTTGCTACTGGTATCTGCTTTATTTCCAGGTTGATGGTTTCTAAGGGAAACAAGGTGAGTGTATGTTCTCGTTCGGCAGCTGCACGAGAGTGGCCAGGCGGAAGCGCATACGACTTCTCCGCTTGCTGGGCTGCATGTGCGGATTGCTCACAACCGGTCTTGATGAATTCGGCAAGATGTTGAGCGACTCTCGGATTAGTGGTGTGTGATGGGATATCCGTTAGAACGAGTGTACGGAGTTTGGGAAGCAAGAGTGGATGGAGGTGACTTTTCGCATGTTTCTCTGGGCTGTGCGAGCATGGTCTGGTCGCTTCAACAGCTTTCGATGATTTGGTGTTCACCGTAGTGGTGCGTTCGGGGTTGGTCGGCCCCACGTCCGTCAGTGGATTCAGTTGTGACGAGCCTCGCGCCGACCCCAGATTTCCGGCCAAAACGTCCTGGGTTATTCTCAAATACCGAAGTACTGTCGCACGTCCCAGCGCCCAAAGAAACCTAGCTTCATCACCGTCGGGGCGGCCGTAAGAGTCTGGCGACGAATAGAAGGGCATTTCCCCAACATCAAGCAGGTGTAACCGTCCTTTTCCTAGTAAAGCAGCGACGCCGTTTATCGTAAGCCGGTTACGCGCCATGTAGAGATGCGTGAGACCTTCACCTGCTCGATCCTCGACGGACAGTGTTCCAACCATGGAACGCGTGAGCTTCCTGCGAACGTGACCCTCCAAATCATCGATTTCAAAAAAAGCGTTATGGCCACCGTCTCGCCCCTGCTCTGCAATCTCTGGCATATCTCCAAAGCACTTCCCGGTCAGAACCCGGGCACTCACGTCGGTGAGGTCGTTGTCTCTCACATCTAGACTCTGCACTCGGTGGCCAATGGAAGCCGCGATGATTTCAATTTCGGCATCTTGCAGGTGAAGTCTAGCCAGCTTGAGGATCCTCAGGTTCTGCAGCGTTTTCAATTGGGCCAGGACCCTATGATCTTTTGCGCCTCGCGTTTCCGAAAGACCCAGGTACACAAGGTTTGGAAGGGCCCATATTGCCTCCATTAACGCAGTCGGAATGGCGTTGACACATGCGGATGCGTCAAGGAGCCGCAGTGCGTAGTGTTGACGAGTATGGGTTTGCGAGCTCTGGATGGCTTTTATGCTGCCATAGTCGAAAACACGGACTGCGTTCACAACGAGCGACTGTAAGGATGGCAGTCGCTGAAGACAATCGCGTAGCCAGCCCGTTGGAAGCTCATCATTAATCTCATATGCAAGAGCTGGAAGCTGTATGGTATGGGTCAACTCTAGCGTACACGGCCTAACTCTTCGCAGATTCCTTATGAAGTCTCTCAAAATAGCTGCCACATATCAGCCCAGACCTCATTTCAATAAATCAAAAAGGGATACATCTATACCATAAATGTCATGTTCGACTCCGAAATGAGAGGTAGGATTACCCCACAGCCGAGAAGCGAACGTCTTCTGCCATTTGCGACAGACAAGCGCACAGGAGCAAAGTTCGTTAGGTCCAAGGTAGGGTGCAATTAGTTCCCAGGGGTCCTGATGTACGGCGCTTTGATACGATGGAAGTTCTTCATCCATATGAAAGGGGTGCGAAATCATGTTGACGTCTTGACTGGGGACGCTCCGCGTTTGGGCCTGCAGGACTGTATTCTGTTCGATGGTAAGGTATGTTCATCTTGATGAAGGATGAAGTTGTCACCCGAGAACAGGCGGCTGCGTGGCTGTGTGAAGGCGAGGCAAGGCGTTCGAAGGCAGTTGACCACCTGGGCAGCGGGGTCCACTGACAGCCAAAATAGGAAATGCGCTAACCGCCTTTAGGTGGATTGGCTGAGGTCGTCGAGCACCGGGTAGCCATCAACGAGCCTCCACGGCAAACAAAAGCCCCACAAGGGTATTTTGCTGAAAACTGGTCCAAAACATGGCATGGGCCTTTGTTGAGATTTCAGTAAAGATCTCTACATTTCAAACCTCATCATCAACCAAAGTCGGAAACCCCCAGACTTCTTCACGCCATAATACGGGACAAACACCAACCATAATTGTATTCCCGCACGAAATATTTGCTTGCTGAGACAGACCACGGCATACGACATACGAACGAGTACACCGCGTGCATCAGATTCAAAGGCCAAGGCCACAATCTCTTTGTCCATCTGGACCTCCTGAAATGTGTTTGGGTCTCTGTTTTAAAAGGATTATTCACGCCAAAGATATACTTGCATAGATGCGTTGCATAGTACGCTTCGCCTCTTTTTCCTTCTCTCTCTCCCGCCTTTAATACTCTTATTGCTGGAGGCATAGAGCTATATAGGTAATTTTAATCACATGTACAAGTACAACCCTCCTTACGTATCCAGATGTATCGAAACAAGTAGAATATGATCGCAGAAAGTAATTTCACATGCCCAAGCATGGCGCCATGTGTTCTATATTCCTACAGTGAAAGTATGACGCCATCGCCTCGACAATAACGTCGAAAATAACCCGTCTGGAGTCTCATCTGCTACCTCCCGACAGCGCCATACCACGCCAACCCCAACACGGACCCAAGTACAATGGCCATCGCAGGCGGGACCTTGAACCACGCCGTCTCCGCATACGTCACCGCAGCCACGACGACCCACCAAGGCTCACTAGCAAGTGACTTCCCCCTCGTCGCTTGCGGCGTCAGGTAACCAATCTCCCAGAGCCGGTAGACGGCAGTGAAGACAAGTCCGACGGCCGTGGCATTGATACCCCTGAGCAAAGCGATGACGGGAGGCTTGGTCCTGAGGACACGCCACAGGGATTGCACGCCCACAGCGAGGGTGATGCCTGGGGTGAAGATGCCGACGAAGCCGAGCATGGCGCCGAAGACAGTGTGCACGTTCGTGGGTGCCATGGCGAGAGCAGCGAGATAGACGGCAAAGTTGAAGTTGGGGCCGGGGAAGGCCTGGATGATGGCGAGGCCGAGCAGGAAGTCTCGCGATGATACCCAACCGGGCTCGACAACGTAGGCGCTCAGGAGAGGGATGACGACGGGCCCGCCGCCGAAGATGATGGTGCCGGCGAGGAAGAGGTTGGCGAAGAGGTCCAAGGTTAGGGGGCGGGATTTGAGGGTGCCGCGGAGGACGAGAATGACGATGAGGATAACTGGAGGAGGGTAAGTATATAAGAAAGGGCATTTGGAGAAGGGGGCCTTACTGAAGAACGCGATGATGATTGAGATCCCGACCTTGATAGAGATGGCATGGGTGTTCATGTCGGCGACAGCAGGAGCAGCAGAAGTCTCACTCCCGCTCACGCTGTCGCGAGTCTCAGTTGACACCGCCCCGTTGTTGTTCGGTGTATTGCGGCCAGACACGCCCTCTTTCTCACCGGGTGCAGGGGTCCTCCTTTGCAGTCCTTCAGCGCCCTCTCTGGTGCTTCCTTCGCGGCCCACCATCTCAATGGGTTGAATTTCTTCAGCGGTACGCTCGGTGCTGGTCGCCTCTCTTCGCTTCCTTTCGCGTTTCGCCTTGAACTTGTCGACTTGTTGGCGCAACCAGGTGTCCCAAATCACAGTGACGATGCCGCCAATGACAATGAGCACCGGGAAGTACCAAAGCGCGTTATAGCACAGGCCGGCACAGGCACCAAAAATAACCAGGATGCGGGTCAGTTTATCAGTGATGGCCTTTTCCGCCAGCTAGTACATAGTGCCACATTAGTATTTCCTATCTGGCTCTGCGGGTTATAGACGACATACCTGTACGGCAGCCAAGGCAATGATACCCACAGTGCTTGCATTCATACCGCTGAGCAGGACATAGACAATAGATGGAAGCACTTCGGGCATCTTCTGCACACCCAGAGATAGAGCATACATGCCAATAGCACCAGGCAAGCTCCAGAGCGCAAAAGCGAACAGAGCCGGAATAAAGCCAGCATGGATCAAGGCAATGCAGAAAGTCATCTTGGTGCTACCGGGTCCAGGAAGGGCCTGGCATATTGCGAAGAGCTCTTGATACTAGGGGCGGGTGAGTTACTATATAGTCCAATATTGCATGAGATGCATCCATATCAGTTACGTGATGTACCCTGAAAGAAGTACTTATCATATGTTCAAGGAGCATCAATGGCGCTGAAGAAGAGCACCTCTCGTATGCACATATCCAAAGGACATAGAGTATGTAATCATGACATAAACGAAAAGAACTCACAGTCTGCTCATCAATCCACTTCGTCTTGCCTCCCACCCCTTCCACAAACCTGCGATGCAGAATCTGGAAGTGAACCGGCGGACCGCCGAATGCCTACATCCCATTGTTCAGCTTCTTCCTTCAGAATGATTCTATAATTTTTTCTTTAGGAAATCGCTGACGAGTTTTTGGCAATAAGAAGAAACATACCGTAAACCCCAAATCCCACATCCTCGTGAAGATGTCCAGAAACCGCCATCCCAGCTTCCCATTGTTCGCCTGGAACGAGTTCCGCTGATCACGCGTCTGGTCGCGGACGACGCGGAAGGCGTCGAGAAGCGGCATTGCAGAGAACTACCTTTGTCCTTGAGCCTTTAAGATGAGCGATTGGAAGACGACTCCAAAGCAGCCTCAGAGGATGGAGGGTTGAATTGAAGGCTTTGATATATTTCCGCACCGCGTCGAGCCGAACCACACCCCTTCGCCCTCACCAGCATCGGCAGACCACACGTGCTTGCAGTGACATGTTCCTATGGCGAATGAGAGGAGACGGACATTACGCCATGCGACCGCCGAGCACCAAAGCCCAGATGCCCAGACTGGTAGACAATGGAAAAGTGACCTCAACCTCGCTTTTCCGCAAGAGGACAAAAAAGGCAACTCTAGCCGTGTCAACTTTCTGCGGAGGCATGTATAAGCGACAGATTTCACGACATCATTCCCAGCCTGGAGACGTCCAATAATACCATAGTACTTGTAAAAGAGGTACAGTATCTACCATCTGCCCTCCTCCTCCGCACCATATTCAGAGAGGTCTCCTGCACTCGATCCTCAAAAATTCGAAAATGTCCACGGTCCGCCAAATGACCACCGACGACCTCTTCCACCTCTCTTCCACCAACCTCGACCCTCTGACGGAGACCTACAACATCGGCTTCTACATGGAGTACCTCACCAAATGGCCCGACCTCTGCCAGGTCGTCGAGGGCATAGACGGGCAGATTGAGGGATACAGTACGTCCAGACCCTACTTCTCTCTCAGCACCAAGCATCCCTCTCTTCCGTCCTCGCCCTCCTCCCTCTCCTCCCCAACACCCCCCTGCGTCCGCTTCCAAACAGCGCCCCCAGGATACACGAGCAGAGCACTACACAAAAACTGACCCCTCCTCTCCAGTCCTAGGCAAACTCGAATCCTCCCCCTACCCACCCCCGACAACCCCCTACCACCCCTCCACCAACCCAGACCCAAACTACCTCCCCTGGCACGGCCACATCACCGCCCTCACCGTGTCCCCCCGCGCCCGCCGCCTCGGCCACGCCACGCGCCTGTCCACCTCGCTCGAGCGCGCCTCGGACGCAAACGACGCCTGGTTCGTCGACCTGTTCGTTCGCGCCGAGAACACGGTCGCCCAGGAGCTGTACAGGAAAATGGGGTATAGTGTGTACAGGCGGGTCGTCGGGTACTATGGCGATGGCGAGGATGCGCTGGATATGCGGAGGCCGTGTAGTAGGGATGTGGGGAGGGGCACGGTCAGGGAGGGGGGAGAGAAGATTTGCGTGAGGCCCGAGGATGTGTGGTAGGCGGAGTTGTAATTCATCTGGATGAGGCGGAGAAATGGAAAGAGATGGGTCCCTTTGGTTTTGGTGGACTGGAGGAATGGTGCAGGGTTGGGTCGAAGGACTTGTTTGCATTTGAAGGAGTTTAGGCCGGTGAGGTTCTGCATTGGAATTGCATTTATACCCCGTTTCATCTTTCGCGAGGGCAGAGTATGATATATAGGCAGTCATGAATGATGCCGTCAGCTTTAACACACCTTGGTTCGAAACTAGCCCCTGTTGGCATTGCCTCTACCGGACTCCATCCAAGTTATGCAACGGGTATCATATGTCCTCGTCCGAATCCAGGTCGTCGCGACCGTCTCTGTCGATATCAGCAAGTACAAACATCTCGCCCCAATACCCCATCAACCCAGCCCAAAAGACCGTACACTTGTCCCCTTCGCACTCATCCTCGACGAAGACGGCGTCGCCAGCCTCTCGACTTTTTCTCCCACAACCAGGCTCCTCGGCCTACTCCGATACCTCTCACCTCCACCGTCCTCCCTCCAGGACATACTCTCCAACGGCAGCGAATACCTCTTCCCCTTCCTGCCCCTAGCATCTTCCCCGCCAGCACCAGCATCACTTACACCATTCCCATCAACCGGAAGACCAGCCATCTCATCCCTCTCCGAACCCCTCGCCTTCCCCTTCCCCCTCACGTGGTCCGCCCGCAAACTCCCCAGCCCATCCACGACCCGTGCCTCCCTTAACCCCGTCAAGCCACTCCTCCTCTTGCCCTCCCAGTCATCCCCATCCCCGTCAACCAGCACAACAATCCAACATCCCACGGCTCCATTCTCTCCAAACAGCGGCGTACAATGGATCCACATACTCCTCCCCTCTTCGTCCCCCGCCCACGCGAGCCAGCGGATCTTGGCGGTGACACCCCGGGTGCCGTCCATCAGGGCTTCGGCCAGGGCATTGCGCACGCGGGTGGAGCCCCCAACATGGTCGAGGAACGGAGTTTGGGGGAGGGAGTTGGAAGTCGGGGTCGGAGGTCGGAGGGAAGGGGAGGCGAAGAGGATACGGTGTGTGGAAGTAGGGCGAATGATGAGGTACTGTCGTCGTGGTGAGTTAGTGGTACAGGGCGGAATTGAGGGGAAAGGCTTACATGTTTGTAGGGTCCGCCTTCTGATGGAGGCCCCGGTGCCACCGGGCTCCTCCCGTCCCGACGACGTATATCACAAAGCATTGCGCTATGCTTTAATATTGATGTAGTCGCTTCTTCGCCGCCATGTTTGAGGACCTCCCGATGCTTACTGCTTCCGAATTTTCTTAGTGTCTCCACTTCCGCTTCGTTAAACATCTCGCTCAGTTCGCGAAATTCGTCCTTTGTTTCATCATACGTCACTGCCCTCTCTCCGTGTCCCCTCTTCAGAAGTTCTTCAAAAGTATCCAAGCCTGTGGCATTCTTAACAAGCCCGCTGACATCGACCTGCGCACCTAGCCAGTACCGGAGTTGTCCGTGCGAGTCGAGGAGAGGAGATATGGTGAGGAGATTCATGAAAGGGGTTCCATCTCGACGGCTATGGGATTGTTAGCCGGCTAGACGATCGCATCTCGGGAACACGGTGATATGTTACTAATTCAGAAGCAGCTCAGTGATATCTTTACCCTCGCTAACAGCCCGCCGCAATCGCGCTGCACTGTGAAGACTTGTCTTCGGACCTTGAAGAAACCTGCAGTTGCGGCCTAGAGCAAAAGACGCACCATACTGCGTCGTTCGATGGAATTCTGCACAAAATCAGTCAAAGGTGCCAACCACCCTTTGAGACTCCAACGTACCTTGGGAAGCGAAAATAATCGGATTATCTTCCCTTGATGGGTCGCTGATACAAAACACCTCGGCCAACCCCTCGCCGCATTCTTGCAGCACCGCAGGCGATTGCCCAGCAACGCGCTTCTGGATACTATCACTGACAACCTGGCTGAAGACATGCGCGATATAAGCTGGTAACTCATCTCGGACGAGTACGTCAAACGCTTGCCGGGCCTTATCTTCCAGGACGGCATTGACCGTCGGTCGAGGCGGATGCTGCGTGAACTCGTAGTCATCTAACGGTTCTAAGGTTTCGGCTATGGCATTAGCGTAGTTGATAGCTCGGAGAGCCTTGAGAGCGTCGAGGTAGTACAGTAGGATCGGGATGGAGTTTGGGCGGGAGTTCGTGATGAAGGACGTAAATGGAGCGAGGGACGAGGTATCACGGAAAATAGCTTCAAGGTGCAGTTTTGAGAACAGTCGCTCTGCAAGGGCATCGAGGGCGGTCTCGCGTCTGTGCGATCGACGGTTCTCAGGTGGTACGAGATCGAATGAGCTGGGATCATCTTCCAGTAAGGGATCGAGCCGGTCTGTGACAGGAGAGGAGACCAGGTTTGGCTGGGGCGATAATCTTTGCGTTGTTCTAGAGAAGGTCGGGGTCACTGTTTCGTACGAGACAAAGGAATCGGTGGAGCTATTAGCTCCAGAAAAGGACCGTGGCGTTGTTTTGATGGAATGTGATCTAATTGATTGTACTGGAGTGCTGGTCGATCGCAGAAATCGCCGTTTGGAGGAGAATGCTTTCCTAGTCGAGCTAATGATACCTTAGCATAGGCAAGCAAGAGCTCTACGGCAAACACTTACCTGGTACGTGTTGGTATATGTATACCCCGTCGCGAAAGGTCTAGTGATTCACGGGCGCTTTCTTCCTCCGGAGAAGAGGTAACCGGATTGCTTCTCAGGGGATGTAAATCCGCGTCGACCTGCTTTCGCGGTGATGGCGTTCGTGGGAACCCAGAAGACTCTGAATGCAGCTGTTGAGGCTCATCATACAGAGACTCATCTAAATTGGTAATATTCTCAAGAACTGTGTGCGTAAGGGAAGTCGAATCCATCTTGTGCCTCTCGGCGCCGGCCGAGGTGTCTACTTCAACCGTCGGCATCCGGGATAGCTTCACGAAACTTGTGGGGTAAGAGATCGGAGGGCACTGGCGAGAAGAAAAGAATCCGTGAGTAGAGCGTCTTTTGAACATAGTTGTTACTATGTGAAGTAATGATGAAAGGGAAGATAATCGCCAACATCCCAGCAAGACGTGGGAGGGATATGGTTAAGAGGAATTGAACTGACTGGACGTAGTTTAAGCATACGTACCAGAGGGTGTTCAAGTATCTGAAAGTTGTCCAATATAACGAGCGGAATGCAGCCAACCGCCTAATCGACGTCTCGAACCAAAGGGAGCGTCGTTTTGATGATGTTCGTCATCAATCTGCAAGGCTTGCTAGCGGATGCGTGTTTCTCGGACGACCAAATTGTAGAATGTTCGATCCGAGGACCTGAGCCGTGATAATAACTCCGGTAGCCTCAACAGACATCCAATCCGAAAAGAAGATAATTCAACACTCGACAGTGAACCTCCCCGAGTGCAGGTCCCTTGTTCGCAATCGAAACCTACGGCAGCCGAACCGCCGTATTCCAAGCAGTCAATCGCGTTGTTCCACAGCAAAGAAGACTGCAAGTCATATTGGGTTTTGGAAGAACACGTCGGCGGGCAAGGGATTGCTGCGCGACGAGGCATGCTGATTGTGGTGATGTTGGGGGTATCAGATCGCGGCGCTAGAGCATCTTTTAGGTTAGCCAGGCACAGTCAACCTTGCGCAGATCCTGCAGGGTATTTGTACTGCACATAGTCGCGATAGGATAGGGAATGAGGTCAAGAAAGGTGTATGGTTCTACTGTAGTTTCTAAAATTAATACCTATGCATCCGTCTGTAGCAGGTGCGAGACTGCTAAGCACCTGGCTGATGTCAAAGAAGTCTAACGTCTACATATGCTTACAAGTACTGCAAAGGTTATAAAGAGATATCTATAGGGGTATATCATGGAAGCCCCCTCTACAACAAGCTCTCCCTCAGCATTTCTTCCTCCCGCTCCTCATCACGGTAAAGCACATAATGCTGATAAAAGAATACGACATCGAAGAACAGGGTAACATTCCCCAATCCGAACTTGACCGGATTCCCCGTGACACCTTCCCAACTCCCCTGCAATGAGGAATCGATGAACAGCTGCAACAGGCTGGCGACCCCGCCCGCGAAGTCGAGTAGCATGGGATAGATGCTCCAGCCTTGGGTGGATTTGCGTTGGAAGTTCAGGTACGCTTGAGGCATGTATTTGACGACGACGGTGAGCAATTTGACGTAGCCTAGAGCGTATATCTGCGAGAAACGCATTAGTCTCTATCGGACATGCTACCTTACTTTGGGGGACTTACGACGTCAACCCACGCCCATGCCGAAGGGTCATATCCTCCCTGTCGCCCTGCAATCCTGACCATGCACACTGTCGCTAGAATTCCGATGATGGACCCCCAGAATATGCCGAGCACTGCTTTACTCGTTTTCTGCAGCTTGCTGACCTTGAATCCCCACACTGAAGGGAAAAACTGGCTGTATATGATGACACACAGCAGCGCGCCGTGCGCCGCGAACAAGACATCGTTGAATCGCACGGTCGTCAGGGGCGACTCGGGATGCCGATATGCATATTGCGATTGTATCGTCGGCGAGTAGTAGAATGCCGCTGTTGAGATTGTATAAGCGATGAATCCGAGGACATTCAGTGTGGGAAAGTCTATAGCGAGGCCGATGGTAGACTTGTGTTGCCAGTTTGATATGGGTTGGGGGTAGAATGATGCGCTCCTACTGTGGTGTTAGCGGCTGAATGATTACAAGTGAGGGTGGTGACACTTGCCAGCAGAAGAAGTAGGCCCAACCGAGGATCCTAGAGACGGCTTTTGCGAAGAAAACGAATTCGGACTCCTTTTCTGACATGTCGTGCGGATTGGGGGTATTGTATTGCGATATCCCGTCTACGCAGCCATGAAGGGAGTCGTCTCGTCTAGCTCGAGGTAACTGACGACCGTCCGCAGTCCTCCCAAGACGGAGAGTACGATCGACGAATTGGCGGAGGGAAACCTTTAAGTTAATCGGTGGTCCCTGTATATTATCACGGTTTTCTGTCGACGGATCTCCAGGTCAGCTAGCGAGAGCTGTCTTTGTAGCACAGGCGTAGTCAGCAACGATCGCTCGGGAACGTTGGGCCTGACGCATATTCAACACCGTCCGAACGGGGACTGGAATAAAAGCCAGATGGACAAGTGTGGCTTCAAATCACGAACGACGGGCTGTGCATGACGTGGTGGGGTCCATGAGAGCTGAGCGTCGAGCGATGGTCATCGGACTAAGAGCGCTATGCTGTTTCGGGAATCTATCCGTTCTAGGCAGAGGGCGCATATACTGTATGCTGTTCCAGAAGTAAGAGAACCGTGATATATTTCCACTACATACTACTGAAAGTGGTCTCGCCATTTTCCTGAAGAATGACTATTGCTGCTTGCATGAATTCAAGCCCGTCCCGAAGCAGCACTAGTTGAATGCTGAGACTAACGTATTAAACAAGGCTTCTTCTCTCTCCACTATGCTACATGGCAGAGTACGTGGATAGGAGAGACGGGGAACGGTGTCGTAGAGACAGTGCTCAGTATAAAAGTGAGAGTAAACCCTCATAATCTCCACACCCTCCCTCCTCAACAAGCACACCCTTCCTTCGGACCTTCCGCCCGCGCGCTCCCCAGATTAACCCGAGCATCTTCCTGTCTTCCCAGGTTCGTCTGGCCACCCACACCCCTGGGGCCCTTGAGACTCGTTTCCGGGATCGCATTCGCGATCGCTGTAAACACCTCGGCGACATTCTGGCCCGTCTTCGCGCTCGTCTCGAAGAACAACAGGCCCTCCTCATCGGCGTACGCCATTGCCGTCTTCGTCGGCACCCGCCTCGCATCCGTGCTCTCGCCTTCCGCTCCCGCGTCTCCGTCTGCCGCCGGCGCGGCGTCGGCTTCGTCCGCCGCGTCGCTCGTGCCTTCGCTCGCCAAATCGGACTTGTTTCCCACGAGAGCAATGACGATCCCCGGTGACGCCTGGCGGTGGAGCTCGGCGACCCAGTGCTGCGCCTTGGTCAGAGACGACGGTTTCGTGATGTCGTATACTACGAGAGCGGCCTGCGCGTTGCGGTAGTACATGGGTGCGAGGGAGGCGAAGCGTTCCTGTCCGGCGGTGTCCCATATCTCGAACTTGATGGTGCGGGTGGGGAGGTTGCATTTTTGGGTCAAGAAGGCGGCTATGCACGTTGGGTAAGCTTGGGGTTTGGCGACTCAGATGCTCGATGGTGGAAACGTACCCCCTATTGTAGGCTCCTTGTTTTCCTGAAAGTCGTTGTTTACGAAGCGCATAACGAGAGAAGACTGTCCCAGGGTTAGCATTTCGAGTCGGGGAACAGCGAGGAGGCTCCAACTTTTCCGACTGCTGCCTCACCCAGCAGCACCAGTTTTACGCTGCTGCTGGGTTTCGGTTGTGTTGCTCCTGAGTCTGCCATATCGAGCTTGCACAGGGTCGATGCCTGGATGTGTCCGATGCTCTGAGAAGGTCGTCGGAGAATGGGTGTCGGCACGGGAGAAGCCCACTTGGGAGAGCTCTAGCTGTAGATTATGGATTCGGGAATGCCGGAAGTGGGCAGAAGAAACGGAGAGGGGCGTGGACAGTCTGGTGGTGATTGGTTTCCAACGATGGACTTGGACTTGGTGATGATGCCGCAGTGTCGTACCAGCCAGGTGTGGCGCTCCGCACGTGATTAAGCGTGGCTGACACGCTTAGCCGTGGTAGGCAAAGCCTGCTGTCGCGTCGCCATTCGGTCCAGTTATCCAGTTGGAGATGGAACCTGCCCAGGTGTGTCAAATCCATATGTGATCACGATTTAAAAACTTCAATGTGGACGCCGAAAAATCCATACGCATATGAGAAGTCATTCTTCTGCCTAGGTGTCCTACAATAGATTCGCAGAGAGGAGTTAATTCCCCAGTTTTAAAGTTCACTATGAGGCAATCTCAAGGCTGTCAACGTGTGTGGGCTATACCCATAGTACTTGTACAAGTATAAGGAAAGGACAGAGACATATACCTAGTATGGAACAAGCAAGAGAAAAATTAATGCGCAGGGGAAGCAATTTCGTACAAAAATGATGCGTGGGCGGAAGCGGAAGGCATGACGTCATCAACAACAAGGCAGTAAAACCACGCAGGCAGGAGCAAACTTGGATTCCCGAAACGGGCAGAGTTTCAGGGCCCAGCGGGAGCAAGCAGTGATATTGACCAGGGGTGAAGCTCTACTTGTACTACGGATACGGAGTGGCGCAAACCGCATCGAGGCAGAGGCTGAATGCGGATTTTGGACGAGCGACCTGTTACGAGAGGTGAGTACGACTGCCGGAGTGTCAGGTGGTTATAGGAGATAGAGGAAGTAGGAAGTATGTCTAGTAGAGTGGATGGAGGAGTTGATGGGAGTTTGTTCTGGGCTCCCCAGCTGCGGGCGGATATTGGTGGTCAATGCGACACAGCCAACATTTGATTCACCGTTCAGGGAGGATTCAGAGCAGTCGAGTCACGGGCGGGGACAGCAACAGAGGTCAGGTGCTCTATACGCACACGTGCCGGAGATAGCTTGGAAAACTTGGGAGCAGGCCGCAAAGGAACACTTCAAGTCCGGATTTCACGAGGAGCAGGTGAGGAGGAATAAGAAGAGTCTCGCGCTCGGGCCGACTGCTGATTCCCGATGACGCCAAGACGATCCCGAGGTGGTCGAGGTGGGATCCAGATGAGAATAAAAATATCGCGCGGGAATCGATGCACGACACAGAACAGCAGTTCGCTGTGCCTCAGGGCTGGAGATCAATAGCCACAGCAGGCAGCGAGCGACGGTGAACAGCAGCAGACTCCCGTCACTCGTGAGCAGCGGGCAGGCCAGCAAGCAAAGCCGGGCGGGAGCCGTGGACGATGGGCGGGAGCGGGGGACAGCCTGGCCTGGGATTGCCCATTCTTGTCGGTTGCGGGCTCGAATCAGGTGCGGGGAAGGGGGATCGCCCGCTCCAACAAATCGCCGTGTCTGGCCCAAAGGGAGAAAAGCAGAGCAGCGGAATGATTGTTGATGTTTGATCCTCGGCATAGGCGACAAAATCTCAGGGAGAAGGAAAAAAGTTATCGCATCTCACCGAAAAAAAGGCGCCGAAGTCCAGGGCGTGGCTGAGAGGCAGCGGACAAAGGCCGAAACAGGTTGTCCTGCTCGTCATCACATCCTCCCCTTCCCCTTCCCCTTCCGGAACCCTGCGCCTGTGCCCTTGCCCTTGTGCCTATCAGCGTAGCCGCCGCTTGCACGACCACGAGGCCCGCAGCAACGTCCGAATGACCAACAGCTGCGAAGTCCTGCTGCAATGGCGGCTGACTGCTGTCACCCATCTCTCCCTCTACCGCTCAACGGCATGAGATTATCTTACTACTGTACAAACCACAACTACCGTACAATAATTGACAGGATCCAATACTGTGTGCCCGTCTGCGTCTGCGGCGTCTTGTGCCCTATCTTCAGCCTCTCGCCGTGCTCGTGCAAGCGCCTTTAGCACCGCCTGCACCGCCTGCATCAATCGCCGTAATATTGGCGCCTGGTGCCCTGTGCGTTTCGTTCGCCCCAGCCGGCTTGTGTGTGGGGTCCGCCTGCCCAAGTGCCCACCACCCACTGCATTCCACCATCTGGCCATTATTATTTTATTTTCCTCAAAGACAATCCACGCCTCACCTCATCTCCCTCCCTCTCTCTTCTCTTTCCTCCTCCTCCTCCTTCTCCTCCTTTCCACCATTGCCATCGTCCAACAACGCCTCGCCCTGTCGCTCTCTGCCTGCCCTCGACGCCGATCTCCCCCCCCCTCTGCTGCCGCTCACCACCTCCGATCGGTCGAGGCTGTGCGACTTTCGTGATCTCCCTGCAAGCTGCACAGTCTGAAGACAGGAACAAAGACAATCCCTTCCCACCCACCATGACTGTCGTCAAGGCATGCTCCTTCCCCTCTCTACCCTGCCCCTTGATGCTTCCCAGTGTTCGCTCTGCCATTTGAGCTAAACCCCCCACGTCACCAATCCGCACAACGCGCGCTAACCATCGCTCCCGCTGCAGGAACCCATCTCAGTCCGCCCATCCACCCAGCACCGGCACTCGTCGAGCATAGCCAATTCGCTGCCAAAGCCCCGCCAGCACTCGTATTCCCTCTCGCAAGGCTCCATACATTCCGCTCATCGTGCCACGCGCAGGAAGAGCATGTCCTCGACCAACCCCGTGGCCGCCGCTGCCAAGGGCATCACAGGCGCTCCTCTGGACACGAGCTCCTCTGCGCGCCGCCCCTCCAAGTCGGCATCGCTCTTCAGAGGGCCTCCCATGAGCAACCTCTCCGCCATGGCCAGCAGCGTTCCCAGCCAAGCCTCGCCCTTCAGCCCCGGGAGCTATGGCGCTGCGGCGAGGAACGAGGCCATCACCGATGGCCCTTCCCTAGCCACCATGCAGGAGCAGAACCGCAACGGCTCCAAATCTAGGATAAGGCGCGCCAGCGAGGGTTCCCGTCTTGCCAAGGGCGAAGGCAAGCGCACAAGTGGTAGCGAATTGAAGTGTGAGAAATGTGGGAAAGGTTACAAGCACAGCAGTTGTCTGACCAAGCACCTGTCAGTAGCCCTACGTCCGCCCTCCCACATACTTTCACAGCTCAAGACGAATGCCCTTACACCCTCCCTCTCCGCGCTTCCGGTCGTGCTCGTTTGAAGTTCTGCGTTGACTGTTTTGTTAGTTGGGAGCACACTCCGGAATGGCAATTGACTTCCAAGCTGCTCATCTCCAAGCATCAGCAGGTGCAGCTGCTGGAGGCTGCGTCCGTCCTGGTCGCCATGAACCAGGAGGCCGACGCCGCTCGCGAGAGCGACCATTCGTCGCTATCTCCCCCAGCCTCGGGCTCGGAGCTGCGCGACGACCTCAGTTCGGCGGACACGACTCCTCCTCCAACGGGCGAGGAGCACGCCATTGGCTCCTACCCGCGCGCGCACTTCGCTCAGCGCTCCATCAAGCGCAACTCTGCCCACAGCAGCACGGCTTACAGCCAGTCCTACCAGTCCGCCGTCTTCTCCGACCGTGGTCACGGCGGCCATTACCGCCAATGGAGCAACGTCTCGGATCGGCCGACCACGTCCGGCACCTCCATCGTTGGCTCCTACCAAGACGACGACAACGACCAGGCTGACCTGGCGGCTGCCGTCGGCTTGTTGAGCTGCTCGTATGGCACGCCCAAATCCGGGCCCGTTGCACTTCCGCCCGACGTCCCACCCGTGCCCCCGCTGCCGGCCAAGTTCCAGGGCTTTGGCAACATTGGCTCCTTGACTCAAGGCAGCACAACCGTCACGGCGCAGCAGTCGAGCATGCGCGGTACCAGCTACCCCTATCACCAGGGCGAAACCAAAGACGTCAACATGGACGACGACTTTGCTGACGAGGATGATTATCGAAACACTCATTCCCGTAGCCGCGGACGCGCAGATGACGACGAGGACGGCGTGTTCGGGAGGATGGAAGAATAATACTGTTCCCGAACGTATAACGCCCGCCACGAAGCTGACATTCCTTTGCTTTTCTTTTGTGTTCCGGCCTGTAACACCATATACCACATTGCAGCGATCTATCTCCGCAGACTCTGCCTGTCTGATTCCGAGGCACCGATGAGAGGGCCCTTGTTCGTCTTGCGCTTTCAAGTCGACGCCGAGCCCTTGAGGTTAAAGCTCAGTTTCAGCACGGTAATGCTTCATCGTCTTGCGTCGAGAGCCTCACCAAATCTAAACAATCATGTACCGGAGTCCAACTTCCTTTTCTTTCAATGCCACGTCTACGCTTGGAATACCATAACCACGATCTTCTTTACGGACCGTCCTGGGCGTATCTTTCTTGTCATGTCTTCGGCCTCCTTTTGTGTATACCGGCTGAAGGATGCGTCTTGGCTCTGCTCGTTGGGGAAGCTTGTAGCGTATGCTTTGTAGGGCATTAGCATTGAATACTTTGTTTCTTTCCAGCGGGTGCAACATGTTAGGCGTGCGGCTGTAAGTTTTGGAGTGAAACACGGATTGGGAGACGATGCAGCACTGGGTGATCGATCTGATGGGTGATGCAGAAGCTCAGGAATTCCGAGGTTGGATTCAGCGACCTGACTGCTCTACTAGGGATCAGTGGTTGGCGAAGACCTTGAAACGACTGCGGAAAACACGAGGGCTACCTGATATGACGTGCACTCATGTATCCGCCTAGGACTACTGAGACACGGAGGTAGCTGGACAAAGCCTTGCGCATAATAACCAACCTTGCCAAAGGACTTCGCTTCCGTAGCTTAGCTATTTGGGAGTTGCCTCCCAGCTGGACATTCAGCAATAGGACCGTGACTAGGGTCTTTTGAACAACAAGAGTCTGACAGGTTCTGCAGCAGAAGGGAGGAGGGAACAGTTCTATGAACCGAGGATGAGGCTGCATCTTGTACCTACACACGATCGGCAAGAGAAACCTTGGAACTTACTCCCGAACTGCTCTTCAGGGGCTCAAATCTCTGATCAGCATGACGTCTGCAGCTGTACTGGGTACATATGGGTGAGACCAGTTTAGCACTGTTTGCTACCTGTTAAAAGTACAGACGGTACAAATGCGACGACACAGATACGAGAGGAATAGATGACATGAGCCGCTGAGATTCCCCTAAACGGTGAATACCGGCACCGTTGTCGTTGGTGTAGTCAAACCAGAGGTGCCCATGTTGAAAGACAGACCGCGCTACCATCCATAGACAGTTAGTCTGTCCAGCCACAGTGTGGCGCGCCGTCTCTGCCAACGTCATTGCGATCAACAACCCTGCTTCATTGTGCCAGGGCTCTATCACCTCACTCCCACTTACCGATACTTTCAGCTTTCACCTTTACATGCCGTTCCATTTTTCGAGATAAAAGGCTTTATTCGCAATACTTCATCTCCCATAGATGAGCGTCGTCTCCGAGAGTCACTCCGTCCACATCATGTCTACCAGACGCAAACCCTCGCCCTCAGCCGACGGTCAACCCACTTCCCCCACATCCACCATGCCCGCCTCCTCTAAACTACGGGACCAGTCTTCCACCACGCGCTCGCCTTTCTTGCCCACCCGCCTCGAAGCCCAACTCATCTCCATCTACCCCGCCACCCTCCTCCTCGGCTCCATCTTCAGCACCCTCTCCCCGGCCTCGCGCAGCGCGCCCTACTCGCGACACCTGCAGTCGCACCCACCGGAATTCGCACCGAGCTACTTTGCGCACAAGAAGAACGTCTTCAACGTCTACTTTGTCAAGATCGGGTGGTTCTGGACCACGCTCGCCTTCGCCATCTTCTGGGTCTTCAACCCGGCGCTGGGCAGGGACTGGTTCAGCCGGCGCCGCGTGCGTGCCGCGCTGCGGTACCTCGCCGTCACGAGCGTGTGGTACGCCATGACGCAGTGGTTCTTTGGCGCGCCCATCATCGATCGCGGGTTCCGGTTTACGGGGGGACAGTGCGAGATCATGAGGGATCCCGCGGCGAGGGAGGATATGTCTGCCACGAGGGAGTATGTGACGGCTGCGACGTGTAAGGCGGTCGGGGGACAGTGGAAGGGCGGCGTGGACATTTCGGGGCATGTGTTTCTGCTCATCCTGGGGTCGGCGCTGCTGTGGTTCGAGTTCCTGCCTGCGTTGACGAGGATGGAGGGGTTGAGGGACGGGCGCAGGATCCTGCTGGCGGACGGCAAGGTCGCTAGCGTCGCGGTCGAGAAGGCCCAGGACGAGGCGGAGGGCGAGCAGCCGACGACGAGGGGGGTGCAGTTCTCGCTGTACGTGGCGGCGCTCATGTGGTGGATGTTGCTCATGACGGCGGCCTACTTCCACACGTGGTTTGAGAAGTTTACGGGGCTGGTGGTGGCGTTTGCGGCGCTGTGGGCCGTGTACTTTCTTCCGAGGGGGATGCCTGGGTTGAGGGCTATTGTGGGCATGCCTGGTGTTTGAGTTGAGTAGTTGTGATGTTTGTGGCAGCATCATCATCATAGAGATTGGGGAAAGGAGGCATTGGGTTGAACGAAGGTATGTAAAATAGAATATGACCATCCCGCGTAACAGCTGTCCTGCATTGCTCCTGTGCGTCTTGTAGCACTACCAGTACGTGTACATACCGGAGGGGAATAAGTTGAAATGGTGAAAAGGAATGCATCACAAGCGCTGATAAGGGCCCCTTTAACAGCTTTTTATCTGCGGAAACCCTTGGTAAACGTCCAAGTTACCGCAACGACCACTTCCCATCCTCCTCTATAATCTCCACCGGCCGATTCTCGTCCAGCGACCTTCGACCCGCCTCGAGGATCGCCGTCGTGGCAATCGTGTTCTTCAGCGTCGGCAGCGGCCGTGCATCCAGCTGATCCAGGGTGATCTTGCCCTCGTTGAGCTGGTTGACGGCATCGACAAACTTCTCAAACGATATGTACCCGTAGCCCGTCTGCCCTGCGAAATTGCCCTCCTCGTCGGGGGCGTACTTCATGTAGAAGCTGCACCGGATTAGAAATAACAGTTACCGTAGGGATGAGAGGAGTGGAGGGACGGAAACACATACGGATTATACCACAGCAGACCCGTCTCGTCGTCGGTGACGTCGTACCCGCGCTTGGCCTGGTTGACGCGTATCTCGCCCTTGCTTGCCATGTAGTGGAAGTACTGATTCGAATGCACGCCCGCCTTCTGCGGCGCCGCCCAGCCCGCTGTATACACGCCCGTCGCCCTCTTGCCCGGGTCTGTCCTCTTGATCCAATCCACCAGCAGCGTAATCGTATCCTCGGTCCCCTCGGCGCAGCCCAATTCCGTCGCGATGCCCCGCGCCGCACTCGCCATGACGCGCACGGGCTTGAAGTCCGGGACCATGGACTCGTTGATGTCCACGTGGTGCGAGTTGAGGTAGTACGAGATGTCGCTGTCGATGCCGGCCCAGGCCTTGAACGTCTCGAGCTGCGACTTGGGCTGGCTCATGTACGAGTAGAAGTAGTTGAAGTCGCCGAGCTTCTGCGCGCGGAAGCGCGCGTCGGCGTAGGCCGGGTCGTAGCGCTTGTGGTGCTCGACGTAGACGAGGATGTTGTGCTGGCGCGCGGCCTCGAGGAGGTGCTGGTGGTGCGCGAGGTGCTTGACGGCGGGCTTGGTGACGAGGACGTGGATGCCGCGTTCGATGGCGTAGAGGGCGATGGGGTAGTGGGTTGGGTCCGGGGTGAAGATGGTGACTGGCATGGGAGGTCAAAAAAGGGGGGGATTGCAGTGGCAGAGGAAGACCTAACTGGCGCTGCCCTTGGGTAGGGTGTCGATGGCGGTTCTGTAGGCGTCCGGGTCGCGTTGGCCTTGCTTGGGGTACTCTTCAAAGGAGACGTCGAGGCCGTTGTATGCCTCGGAAATGTTCTTTTGGAGATGCTCGCCTGGGGGAGCGAAGTGAGCGAGGGGGATAACGGACAGCCCATCGTCGAGACGTACGGATGGCAGGGAACTTGTCGCCGGAGACGCCGACCATGGACAGTTTGCCCACCTTGCCTCGTCTTCGGAGATCGAACAGCGTCAGTCCTACCACGCCAACCTTCTTGTCGGACTTGGAGGCCCCTCCGCCGACAAAGCCGGTTGTGTACTCCCCCGTGCCGACCTGCTCGTGCGTTGGCAAAGATCAAGGAGGGATTATGTAGGGTCAACCAAGAATGTTGACGGGACCAAGAAGAAGCAACTAGAAGTTATGCGGTGGGATACTGCGAACTGTACTGTGTATGCAGTGGAGAGGGGAGACGAAAGGCGAAATGGACCGGATTGAAACAAAGTTCCACTCACCATCAGGACTTCGAGCGGTGCCATGATTGCTACTGCTTACAACCACAATTGCAAATGTCTAGTAGTGGTGGGTGTCGAGAATTCGGTCACTGATGGTGGAGGGGCTTCTTGAGTGAATGTCCCTGAAGCTACCGTCTTATCGATAACGGGATAAATATTCGACCCCAAACCCAGCCCCAGACTTGCAAGCGGAAGAATGGACGCCGGGGGGAAACAGCCTCAGTGGAGTCGACCAGGTTCCCCACGCGAGCGCCCAGCAACTTTCCCATTCGTGGAAGAATTGGTGCCCGAGAACCAACCCCAGCCTGCCGTGTCACCTCAACTTTCGACCTCCAACTGCCACCTCACGACGACTCTCCGTACGGCATCCTCACGCCCGATTATTTTAGTCACTGCCACCAAGAAAAGCCCGCACTCTCTGTCCCGCCATTTGTGCAGCTGCCGTTCCGATGTAGACGCCATACTCGGCAGCCCGCAGTGCATCACTTCTCGCAGCGTGGACGGCCTGCCTCTCCACAGCAGAGCTGGCGCCCGACATGTCCGCTGGGCGACGTGCGCTCTCAGCTCCGAGCGAATCAAGGGTCGGTTCTGGCAGCAGTTGGCATTCAGAAGCATAATGGAAAGACTTTACTGCGGTCGTTGAAGGGTGGGATGGCGGGGAATTCCCATGATGGGGCTGCGCCCTAGTTTCCCTTTCCCGTCCATGGCAATTGCCCATCCACCACTCCTACCTGTTTATATATTAATGGCTGACCAGATGTCGTATGTGGACGTACGGCCCACTTTCCTGTCTCTCCCCTCTCCTCCTCTCCGGTTGCCCGGGTTTCTTGTCCGTGTACTACTTCTGTTCCCTCTCCTTCTCCTTCACTCGGTCCAGTCTCTCCCTGCTCTCTTGTAGTCATGACTGCTGCGCACAGTGCTACTAACGGCCATTCCAATGGCACCGCAAACGCTCATGCCAGACAACGGACGCCTCTGCGGCCGGGAATCTACTCCCCCACCATGACCTTCTTCGACCCGGAGACCGAGGACATCGACATCCCTACCATCAAGAAACACGCCGTGCGGCTTGCTGAGGCGGGACTCGTGGGTCTAGTGACCATGGGCTCCAACGGAGAAGCAGTCCATCTGTCCCGGGCCGAGAAGGCGGCCATCACGCGAGCAACCCGAGAAGCCCTGGACGAAGCAGGCTACCAAAACGTACCCGTCATTGTAGGAGCCTCGGAGCACGGCATACGCCTGACTATTGAGCTGTGCAAGGAAGCTGCCGCGGCGGGAGGAGAATACGTGCTGCTGGTGCCGCCGAGCTACTACCGCTATGCCATGGACGAGGAAGCCATCTACGAATACTTCACAAAGGTGGCCGACGGATCACCGCTGCCCGTCATCCTGTACAACTACCCCGGAGCCGTGGCTGGCATAGACATGGACAGCGACCTCATCATCAAACTCGCCAAGCATCCCAACATCGTGGGCACAAAATTCACCTGCGGCAACACGGGCAAGCTCACGCGCGTCGCCCTGGCCACGAACGCGACCACCACCAAGAGCGCCGGAAGCGGATACATGGCCTTTGGCGGCATGGCGGACTTCACGGCGCAGACGGCGGCGAGCGGCGGCTCGGGCATCATCGCGGGAGGCGCAAACGTGATCCCCAAGACGTGCGTCAAGGTGTGGAACCTCTGGGCCGAGGGCAAATACGACGAGGCGCTGGCGCTGCAGAAGGTGCTCAGCAAGGGCGACTGGGTGCTGACCAAGGCGGCCATTCCCGGCACCAAGTCGGCCATCCAGTCGTACTTTGGCTACGGCGGGTATCCGCGCCGTCCGCTCAAGCGGCTCAGCCAGGAACAGGCGGATGCGGTGGCCGAGGGGATCCGCGAGGTCATGGAGGTGGAGAAGAGCTTATAGCTATGTCTTGTCGCGTCGTTTCATGCCATGTCGGTTTCGCGTCGCATTTTTCCCTGGTACAAATGTTTCGTGGTTCATGAAAGGCATTTGTATGCATTTCCAAAATTCCCTTGTACTCTTGGGGCTTATTGCGTCTAGCGGTGTTGTTGCACTAAGCCAGCAAACTACCTAGGTACCCAGTCGCCCGTGCACATGGCGTGGCGTGTATGTGACTGTGTATGGGAGGGAGTGAAGTCCCACAGATAGCCCGCATACGCGATATTCCACATACTCTTTCGTCACCGTAATCGAACCTCTTCAAATCAGAGCTTTTGCTAATCCTCCGCTCTCTGGCATTTATTGTGGTTGACCTACTCGTAATCACATCCTCTCTTACCCCTCTCCTCTCCTAGTCCAGAATGACGTCACTTCTCTCATCACCCCTCCTCCCGTCATCTACCCCTGCCATCCAAACTGGTACACACTAATCCCGCATGCTCTGTTTAACCATCCTATTACCTACTCACCCCTACTCCGCACCAGATACCCCGAACCCCTCGGGCCAACTGCTCCCGTCGTGACTAGAGTATCACGTGTCGCATAACCAAAAACTCAAAATAAGGACATGGGGAAGTGCACACCTTGCACATGTCGACTTCAACCGCGGAATTTCTTCGAGCTTGATTTGATGGACTTGACTTGCTTGGTTTTTAGACCAACAGGCTTTTTAGTGTTCTCTTTCTTTTTACCCCTTTGGTCTTTTCTTTCTTTTTCTTTTTTGCCTTTCCCACTCTCCTCGTTTCTCCTCTTATCTTACCCTCCCCCCTCCTTCTTTCTCCTCCCCCCTTCCCCTTTTTTCTTCGCTGTTCTTCTTCATTTGTTCACTTTACTTCTTTTCTCTTTACTTCTACTCTTTCATTTTATTCTCGTACCATCCTTGGCGAGTAGGACTTCTCTACTGTTCCTCCTATTCCTTCTATATCAAGCACCATCGTCGGCAACGTACATCTTCCTTGGGAACTGCAACATCCTTTCCCTTCCCTTTTTTCCCCACGGTCCGGCACAGGCGACCCCGAACCTCCATCCTGCAGAGATTACAACCACGTTGGATCATGCAACTTCCCGACAGGAATCATGCACGTAACCGGTGGCTCTTTCAGCTTCAGCGGCGGCCCCCCAGGCTCCCGCATACAAATACAGACGTCGTTGCCCTTTATTTATTTTTTTTTTTCTCACAACGTTCATTGAGTCGAATAAGAAAGAGGGGAAAAAGCACATGTTTGCTAATTTGAACCAATGGTATTTCCTTCCCAGAATCCCCGAAAACGTCCCTTGATAATGCCATTGCTGAGAAACCAGACAGGATATATATGCTTGATACACAGACGACACGGATATCGCTCTCATTAATTACGCAGAAAACCGTAGACACGAAGGTCCCAGACCCTCAGCATCCGCTCTTCCAAGGTCATAATCATACAGTTACGCTCGCTGAAACGCCGTCGCTGAAAAAGTCGAATCGCAGTCATGTCGGTCATGACTTCTTCAGATGGCCAGACCGTTCCCGAGACTGGTCCATCGGTACAGGGACAGCACCTCCCGCCGCTTGGCGGGCGTCATTTCACGCGAATGAGCGTGGCCCTTGATTTGAGCTAATGTGGAAATCATTATTTTGCGAAAATTTCTCTGCATGGCCATCAGTACGTGCATCAAGAACGGCAGACCTCTTCAAACCTACCTGATATTCGTTATGGAGAGTGACGACGGCGGCCTCATGCGCTCGGATGATGATTTCGCACGCCTTGATCACCTTTTCGTTGGTATCCGTGGAGAGCTTATCGGCCAGCAAGAGCAGGATCAAGCTTCCTTGCAAGAGATACTGTCGTGCTGTTAGCGGGCATATTGAAAGGATTGGATTCGCCACTGACCATTCCGAACAGATACGACATGAAGGAAAGATCCGGATCCAGCTCGAGAATCTCCTCGACCGCATGGGCGGCCGCAATGGCATTCGACGTGGCCGTCAGGAACGACGAGGAACAGATCCAGGTATTATTGTCGTCCAGAAGCGACACAGGATCCCACTTCCCATGCGTCAAGATGTGCAGGACATGCATGATGTGGGTTGCATAGGCGACCACCTTCTTGGTCTGGTGTATCCACTCGCTGCGCACTTGGTCCGGAGTGCCATTGCTGGCATTGATTTTGCCGTCATCGCCGGGACCGCAGCCGTGCTGGACTTTGAACTCCTCGAGGCTGTAGGCATACCTCTCGAGCTGGAGGGTGATTTCCGATTCCTGAAGCTCCCAGCTGGATGTGCGTCGCTGTCCGAAACGAGGATGGTTCTTCTGGGCATTGAGGTCGACAATGTCCCCAAGGATGGTCATGAGAGGCAGGAAGAAGCCGAAGACGTCATGCGAAGTGCATTGGAAAGTGAGGCCTTTCCTGCGCGGTGTAGAGCTGCCGGTGAAAAACTCGCCAGCCTGCCACACGGTGTCTGGTACCGGCTGGAACAGGTCCTCGCACTCATTGTCCAACATGGCAAGCGGCCTGTTGTAGCACAGACCAAGGTGTCGATCAACCATGTAGAGCAGCCACCAGAGCCGTCGACGCTCCTCCTTCATCTCTTCAATCAGCGCTGCAGCTGGGGTGCCAGCGGTAGGCTGCACCGGTTTGGCCTCGCCCATAGCCATATCCACATCCACACGGTCTGCAACACTCGGATCATGCTCGCCCGTCGCATCTTGAGGCAGTTCCCGACCCAGCTTCAGCTCCCGAGCTAGACTCCATGCAGCGTTCCACCAGCGTAGACTCGCGGCTTTATATTCCCCAGCCGAAGTGACGACACCGAGATTCATGTAGGTGGCGACATCGTCCAACGTGCTCGTCGGCGGCATCCCAGCCTCGAATCTCGAATCGTAGCTACCAATCACTCTATCCACTCCGAAAGCATCGTGGGGTGCGGGACTGACCATTCCTCCAGAACCCTGGGTGAAGCCATGCGTGCCCGAGGGCGTGTGGACTAGAGGTTTGAGCAGGTCTACCGTCAGTTTCCAGAGTTTGTGGCATATGACAGACCTCGCCGACGGCGATGAAGTCAAATAGGTAGCTTCACTAGTTTGTGCGGAAATCCAGAGCATGCTTGCCAGGAGAGCGGGGCTGCACTTCCTGGGCTTGTGTTGACGAAGAAAGGATCGCTTTCGGAAGACGGTGCCAAGGATATAGGGTGAGGCAGGTTCCATGAAAATGGACGACGAACTTTGGAAATAGAACTCTAGCAAATCACAGGCCATGGAGATGGAAATGACGTTGCCCAGGTGAGGAATTAATGGCTTCAGAACGGGATATCGACAGGACACTGAGCCATGATGAGAAGACGAAACGCTGACTGCAGAATGAGGCGAGCCGGTGTCGCCGGAATTGTAGCTGTGGGGAGAAGCCTGGCGGACGGGAGGGAACTGCATCGGGTAGCCCATGTTGCCGAAGTCTGGAGGCATGGTGGTGACTGGGGTGCCCGAGTCTGGGACTAGGTGCATGTCGTTCATGGCAAACATCAATTCCTCGTTCCGGGGCATGCCGTGATGCATCTGGGGGTGCTGGGCATAGTGATTCACTTCGCCGGGGCCCAGCAGGAGCGGATCGATCATGATGTGGTTGATGGGAGGTTGGTAGGCGGTGGCCGAGTGTGGATGCGGGTGCGAGTGTGGATGTGGGTGTGGGTGCGGGTGCTGCTGTGAAGAGTCTTGGTTTGGGGGAGGGTGTGGGTGCAGAGGATTGTTGTGCATGGCTTGCCAGGCGGGGGAAGAGGTGTTGGGCACGACGTCGTTCTTTCCGGGAAAGTGCTGTGCGATGGGCGTGGGCTCGGCGGGGGACCAGATTTCCTCGTCCATCTCGGGGATCATGTCGGGGCCTTCGTAGCCGGCTGCCGTCTGTATCGACAGAGCAGCTGCACCTCCCTCTGGGCGTATCTGGTTCTGGCTGGCCTGAGCAGCCTCTTCCCTCTGCTTCTGGATGTGTCGGGGGACCTAAGACGCCGTGATGGTTGGCATGAGGGTTGTAGGCGGAAGCGAAGACGGAAACGCACCTTGCCTCGACGCTTCTTCTCTCGGTTGTATTGGCACACATATTCGAGTTCTGCAATGGTCGAATTAGCGGTGATGGTCTTCGGCGGAGGAAGGCATGTCTTTTCCGGCATACCTATACAGCGCGAACACGGAGCCTGGCCGTTGCAGCGGGTGCGCATGCGGTGGCAATGATCGCAGGCGCGGCTCACTCTGCGCTTGACGATGGCGGAGCCCTTGCGCTCGGGCTTGGGGAGGCTGTCCACCTGTTGCTGCTGTTGCTGCTGCTGCTGTTGTTGTTGCTGCGGCGGCGGCGGCTGCTGCGGCGTCTCCATGGTGGCAGGCAGGACGAAGTCAACAGAAAGGGAGCGTGGAGGGTGGTGAGTTGGTGGAGAGGAGACGGTGGCCGTCCGGGGAAAGAGAGTCAAAAAGTGTGGGAGCAAGCGGCAGTCATGGGATATGATAGATGGACGGGGAAAGGACACAAGCGCAAAAGTGGGCCGCCGCCGTCCGCACTGACAGAAGTGACTACTGACTGACTGGCACTTTTTGACGGGCACAGACTACATACGACTACTGGGAAGAGGCTGCCGAGGAACAACGTCCGCCGTCGCCTTTCGTCTCGCACCCCATCGCCATCCATCATCCCGGTCGGGTCCATGGGCGCAAACCAGGGCGAGGTTGACCATCAGTGCCCATCTCTGTGGCGTGCGGGCTTCCATGCATCCACGCGGGCTTCGAGAAGCGAGATCACAAACAGCGTTGGAGGGGGGCCGCAATCTCGCGGGTGCGCCATGGGAAGCCTCTCTGGCTTCATCAGTCAGTTGCTGGCCGTGGCTCTCCGGCCGCTGGTGTTGATGGGCGCTGATGGGCCTGCGGATTATTGGCCATGGCCCGTCTGGCGATTGTTTTGGCGACCGATGACCGTCGATCGCTCCTTCCCCCAGACCCCGGCCGAGATGTGTGCCCCTGGTGCCTTCCCTCCTTCGCCTGGTCGCTGGGATGATGGGGATGGGTGGAAGAGGGGAAAACCCGCCGACCGCAAAGCCGCGCCAGCGTGAAGAGAGCGAGAGCGAGAGTGGAGGGCCACCTGGGCACGCGCGACTGCGGGGTCGTTGCCTTTTAGCCATTTAGCCGGTGAGGCCTGGTTGGCTGTTTCCACCAACCGGCTGAATGCGTCCCCGCAAGAACCGTTGCCCACCCTTTCGTGCGCTACGCCTGTCCTGAAAAGGCCTGACCTAGCGCCTTTTAGCGGGCTCCCTAGCGCGTGACTAGCTTCCCTCGTCCTCTTGGCAGGAAATGCTGATGACCCCAGCACGTCCTCCTCTTGCAAAGTAGCAAAAGTAGCAACATGTCCACGACTCTGCACCTTTGGGCCAAAACCCCATGCCATGCACCTGATGAAGGCTCTGGGGCAACCAGGAAGTCGACTCTGGGGCTCCGCTCTCAGCTCTGGGGTACTGCCGGCCCTGCTTGAGGTTGCAGCTCAACTTGCTGCGGCCAACCCGTCGTGTACCTTGATTATTTATTACCGTGCTAGATCGTGGCGTCCACCGCCTGACCCACCCCTCTCCACGGCGCCGCTTTTTCGAGTCCCTCTGCAGGTCCAAGTCCTCCTTCATCGTCGACGGGCAGCAGTTGGCCATGCGGGCATGGCTTGCTCGGAGAATTCGGAGCACTTCTCCTACGCATTCGGATTCCCACCTCATTTCCCTCTAGCCGGCTGATGACATAACCCGCCTCAGATATTCCGTCCCGTCCCGAGACCGCCATTGATCCCTCATCAACACCCTTGACGTCCCCATGATGCCTGGAGCCTCCAGCGCCTGTCACATTGTTGCACATCTCGCCCGACTCGCAACAAACGGCGCCGCTCAATAACCACATCGTCCTGGTACCTGCCTCGTCGAGCGGTTGCTGAAACTCATGGTGAATGACTCGCCAATCTACCATAGGGCTGCTGCATAATCACACACCCTCAGCTTTCAGGACGAGGCTAACATCGACCACCTCGTCAGCGCTAACCAAACCATAAATCCAATTCCCCTCGCATCGCCGATGGGCAACGCGCACCGCACAGCCCTTATTAGGTGCCTGGACATAGCTACTGGTACATCCACACCCTCTTCCGACCCATCATTCTCCTAACCTGAGTCAAGGGGCTTGCTTGCGGCCCTGCTGTTACAGCTTGAGAGGGTCGTTGCGAGGGCCATTGCGTCAAGTCTAGCACTGTCGACCTCACAATCCGAGTCAACTCGAGTTGCTGCTTATACCCAAAATGGAAGGACCCCGGTCCCATGAACAAACCCCCAGCTTCTGTTTGGGCAGTCCTGCTGCTTTCCATGGGCACTGATTAAAGGGCATACCAGTAAATAATAGCAAGCATACCAGTAAATAATAGCAAGCATACCAGTAAGGTCGCCTGCGCCGCCTGCGTCGCCTCTGAATGGCTGCTGCCCCTGCCTCGGCTAAGTGCTCGGCCTCCTTGGCGAGGAACATGAACATTTACCCTCTCTTTCTTATGTCCTAACCCTTCTAGCTATAAATCTTAGGAGGCAACCCCTTAAAATTTTGACTGCATTAGAAAGAGCAGCTTCGAAATCCTAAGTCTGCCTCTTTACATCTAAAATCTGGGTTCCTGCACGTACGTGGCGGCGGCGCAAAAGTGGTGAGTTACTGGTATGCTCGCTATTATTTACTGGTGTGCCCTTTAACGAGTGCCCTTTCCATGTGCCTCCTTCGAACATCAGTTCTGACAACAACTACATACTGGTATTAAGCTACTACACCGCCAGTACTTCTTCTCCGCAAGCGTGTCTGGGCTGTTTCCAGAGCTATTTCCAATCCATGTATGCTAGGCTTACTTCGCTTCTCTTGCAGGCCCATCGCTCTTATGTCCTGCACGCTGGTATACTACGCAGTAGCTTGACCTTCATGCACCAGTGCAGCAGAACAGTCAACACACACTGCTCCCGGAATGCGAGACCGCCACGTTCAGGTGGTGTGGCCACTCACTGGTAGCGAAGTCCTGGTTCATCTCACCTATTTTCCAACCCTCATTGCCTTTTGGGTTGATGGTCAGACAAACTCTTTGGTTGCGTGGCTGCCTCTCCTTATTAGGGGCCGCGGGCCGTTATTGACTCCTCATGCCTGCGCAGTGCAGCCCTGATTCGACCGCCTCACAGTACGTCATCTACCTTTGCCTCCTGTCCTGTTGTCCAGTCCAGGAGAGGACGACGTGCAGCAAGCTGCACTGCAAGGGCACTTCATACCGGCAGAATCCCCACTCATTCACATTTGCGCCTGTTTTTCTGGAGGAACCCGACATTCAGGGTCCAATTTATTTATACATTACCGCGGATCTCTACTCCACACCCAGACTGCAGGTGGCAGTGGTGCAACCACACTGCTATTTTTGTGGCTGTTGTTGTACTTGTATACGTTCACCTTTTCCAGCTCACCTGTTTGGTTGCCACCTCGTTCTTTTTGCATTTTGCCTGAATGAACAACCCCGGTGACGATCGCGACGCAGCTCCCCCGCAAAAGGCTGGGATGCCACCTCTTTCGGCTCATTTGGAACTCTATCTCTCTACTCTTGCTCCTTTTCCATTGTTCGGCCAAGCCTTCTGGAAGGATGAACTATGGCACATGCGCAACCCTTCATAGCAGCCCCTGTGGAGATCAACAATAGGTCATGTCGGTGACGGATAGAAGGGTTGGACGCATCGTGGAGGCGTCAGTTCTTGTGCGAGATGTTCGAACTTGACATGGAGATGAGCGTTTTCAATTTCACAGGAACACCTCCCAGGTACGCATGGTACGCACTACGCTTGTACTGTGTAAGCGACTGTCTGCTCCAGGAAGTTGGGATTGTGTGACCGTCCACGCAAGCGACGTGAATTAAACTCTGCTACCCTCTTTAACTTGAGCTGCTATCAACCAGGTACATCCAACTTCCCTCACCGGGTTCCTCCATCAATAGGACGGCTCATGCCTGGGCTAAAGCAAATCATCACCAACGACCTGCATCAGCAGCATCACATGGCGCTGACGACTATATAACAATCGACGATTATCACCAGACATTCGTTGAGTGATGATCGGGGTATGCATAGCCGGCTCGGAACATTGGCGCAATGGCGAAATGGTCTTGCATGCAGTCCCAACGGCAACCATGTCGTTATGGAGAGGGCTTAACCAGGCTTTCCCACTACAAGCAACACCACCGTTCTGGGCGTCCTAGATCGGGTGAGCAGTCCGCTCGCTAAGTATTGCATGTCTGTGGCGAGGCTCTCTGAAACGGTCGTGCAGTGGGCATCCATATGCACCCCACACCTCAGTCCAACCTCTGCAGCCACATGATCCTGGCACTTATCAGAGATCAAATACCTATGGCTGCTACATATCGGAAACCGAGAATGTGCAAAAGGAAGCAGGAAACAGTCAGTGAGAACAGCAATGGACCGTTAGGATGCAAATCCCAACTCCAACAGGGACATAACTATCAAGAAAAAGAAATATACATCACTTCCACCCGAAGTTCAGCCATATTGCCATGGAGCGGAAACTTTTATGATGCTGCATCAGCTATAGGAGGGCCCTGACTGGGATGAGGTGGTCCGATGCAAATGCAGCTAACATCAACAAGCCTCTCATGGTTTGCGTTGTTGTTATTCTTTGAGTATCTTGTTCGCTTTGGCGTTACAGTCTGCTTGGGCCAGAACAGTCAATCATGCTTCTCTTCCCTTACAAGCTACCCTAACGCAGCTCCAGACATTCACTTCTCCTCCACGAGAACTGTGACGAACCGCTGCTGGATCTGGACAAAACTTACTTTTGCTCACTCGGCTTGCTGTGTATCCACTTCTTGGCATTCTCTACACATCGAGGCGGGTTAGTCGACAGCGAAGGACAAGTAGGAATCGAGGCTCACGTACCTGCTGCCTCCTCCATCGCCTTCTTGTCCTTCAACCTCTCCTTGATCGTATTGCGCTCGGGGACGTGCTGGCCCTTTTCCACGCCAGGCCTCTTCGACATCCTCTCTTCCCAGGCCTTGAGCGCAGGGAATTCGTCGATGTCGATGCCTGCCCAGCCCGCGGCGTTGACCCACCCGAAGTGAGCTATATCTGCGATTGTACATTTTTCACCGACCAGATAGTGGGTGTTGTTGCTGGAAAGGTGCTTGTCGAGCACCCCGTATAGGCGGCGAGTTTCGTTTTGATACCGGTTCACGCCGTACTCAATGTGCTCGGGGGCGTAGCGAGTGAAGTGATCTTGCGTAAGTGTTAGCTGGGGTGCTTCTGGCACGGTATCTGACAGACTGACTTGCTTGCCCCTGCATTGGTCCCACGCCAGCGTTCTGGAAGAACAACCCTATTCACAAGAATTTAGATTCGTTGTTCTGATTCCACCTTCATACACGGTTCCACGTACAATTCGTCATTTCGACATGCTCGCGCGATCCCGGCGGGTAGCTGATCTTGTAGTCCTTGTCATATCGAGCAACCAGGTACTGCATGATGGAGCCGGACTCGAAGACATTGATCTGCTGGCCGTCGGTGAAGGTGTCGGTGATGGCGGGGATGCGGCCATTCGGGTTGATCTTGAGGAACCAGTCTTCCTTCTGCTCGTTGGTGGAGAACTTGATGGGGTGGACCTTGTAGGGTAGGCTGGGGTTTTGCACATCAGCACATCGTCCGATGTAGTCAATGCCGTTTGGGAGCTTACCCCAGCTCTTCGAGCGTAATGGACACCTTGATGCCGTTCGGCGTCTGCGCCGTGTACAAAACGATGTTCGGCTCGCTGGATGCCATTGTGCTAGACAGGAGGGCGCGAATTGGAACCTTCGAGGGCGGTATACGTGGAAATCTTTGCAGCGTCTTAGGAATGTATTGCAGTCTTGCAAAGGGCATTGAAGCTCTCTCCGGGAGCTTTATACGGAGGGCATCCGGGGGCGACACAAGGTGGGGGCAGCGCCGCGGCTATGAGGTTGGCCCCGCGCTCATGTAAATAGTGCAACCCGAGTTGCTTAGAAATGAGGAATGACGATTTCATTTTCAGGTTTTTTTGGGGCCAGGGATAAGTAATCCGAAGGGCGTAGCCGAGTGATTGTACTAGTTGAGAGGATAGCACGTTACACGACTCCGTTGCGAAAGAGTGTGTGTTGCCTGACGTGCTTGTTGTCTGTTGCAGAGGAGGGATACGGGCGGAGTTATTCTGGGGTTGGTGTTGGCTAAGTCCGTTCGGTTTGGATTGGTCGGGGGGAGTAGGTATACAAGTACAACAATGAACGGCGCTACTGACCAGGCTTGCTAGGAGATCTCAAAAGCATGGGCAAAAGCTTTGTCGGTAGTTTGGCTCTTAATCTGATAAAATGAAGTACATCACGTGACAGTGAAAGCTTGCTCGCACGTGAAATTCTTTAGCGCCAGGCCGGGGTTTTCTCGCTTAAACTTTTACGCCAAGCTTCCCCATTCATGTCTTAGCTCAGGGCCTCGCCACTGCTCCCTTCAAACATCACGCCCTCTTGTGGTGGTATCACGACCGTCAAACACCTCCCATTTCTACCGAAGATGTCGTGGCGTAACCAAGGTATTACGGGCTCGAATAACATTCCCCTCGGGACTCGGCGACGGTTTGGCGGCGGCGACGATGCTCAGGACGACGGCGGCTACAATCCCGCTGCGCCAGCGACGGGGTTGTCAGAGCTGAAGCGCGGTCGCAGTCCAACGCGTGGTATGTCGTATCTTTACCTGCTTCGTGATGGTTACTGACCTTCTCAGACGCCCAACCCGTCGATGGTCCCAAACGGCGACGCAAACGCAATCGATGGGGGGATGCCAGCGAGAACAAGGCTGCCGGCCTGATGGGCTTACCCACGGCCATCTATGCGGCCATGACTACGGAGCAGCTTGACGCGTATACTCTGCATTTGCGCATTGAGGAAATCACCCAGAAGCTCAAGATCAACGATGTTGTGCCTCCAGAGGGTGAACGGTACGTGTAGCATTCTTGCCCGGATTGGTGTTCGCAGGCTAACATACTTCAAGGTCGCCGTCCCCTCCTCCGCAGTATGATAACTTTGGTCGCCGTGTCAATACGCGCGAGTTCCGCTACCGCAAGCGACTCGAGGATGAGCGTCACAAGTTGGTCGAAAAGGCCATGAAGACGCTGCCCAACTATCATCCGCCAGCTGATTATAGGCGACCTACTAAGACACAGGAGAAAGTCTATGTGCCGGTCAATGACTATCCAGAGATCAACTTCAGTACGGAACTAACCCCTCTAAACCCCCACTTTCCCAGTCCTTGCTTTCCTTTTGCCTTCGTCTTGACGAGGCATGCTCAGACCGACCGATACAAGTGGATATCTTGGAACGTCTGCAGTATAGCTATGTCACTAACCCACCTCATCAATTACTCTACTGACCCATTTTGATCATTTGACTAACCAAGGTTCTCCTACTAACAGTTGGCCTGCTCATTGGCCCTCGTGGAAATACGCTCAAAAAGATGGAGTCTGAATCCGGCGCCAAGATTGCCATTCGCGGCAAAGGCTCTGTTAAAGAGGGCAAAGGCCGTTCTGACGCAGCTCACTCCAGCAACCAGGAAGAGGATTTGCACTGTTTGATCATGGCAGATACGGAGGAGAAGGTCAACAAGGCCAAGAAGCTGATTCACAACGTCATTGAGACTGTAAGTACCCTGAGCCGCCCTTGGAATACTCTTGCTAATCCCACAACAAGGCTGCCTCGATTCCCGAAGGACAAAATGAGTTGAAACGTAACCAACTTCGCGAGCTTGCTGCTCTCAACGGTACGCTCCGAGACGACGAAAATCAGGCCTGTCAGAACTGTGGCGAAATCGGTCACCGAAAGTACGATTGCCCGCAGAAACAGAACTATACCGCCAGTGTCATCTGTCGTGTTTGCGGTCAGGCCGGCCACTTTGCTCGTGACTGTCCTGATCGTAAACGCGGCCAGGATTGGCGCAACGATGACCGCGGTCCACGCAACGCGAACAGGATCACAGCGCCTGAGGACGAGCTCGAGGCTTTCATTGCTGGGCAGACCGGAGCTGCTGCTCCTCGCCAGATCGAATATAATGGAGCCACAGATGGATATGGTGGAGGCGACGAGCCGCGCGCTCTCAAGCCTTGGGAACGTGGTCCTACTGGGGGAGCAGCTCCCTGGGCCCGCAACAACCGAGACGAGCGCGATGGTCCTTCCAATCCTGCACCTTGGGCTTCGGCCGGTGCTAGTGCCGCGTCGTACAATGGTGCTGGTTACAGTGCCGCACCTTGGGGGGCTGCCGCTCCTGGTGCCTCGTATGGGTACGGCGCCTATGGAGCAAACGGTTACGACTCCGCTGCAGCGGCAGCTCCTCCCGGCATGGCATCATATAGTGCTCCTGGCTACGGTGCTGCTGCTCCACCTGGTGTCGCTTCGCTTTACCAATATGGCAACGCCGGTAGTCCTCCGCCCCCTCCACCACCGGGCGGCAGTGCTCCCCCTCCCCCTCCAGGAGAGGCTCCACCACCACCTGTGAGTTTCTCTACTAATCCCTTGTTGTTCGTTCTTCCCTAACGTACAACAGCCCCCAGGTAACCAGCCTCCTCCACCGCCCCCTCCGGCATGATCAACGCAAGCTGTGCGGTGATTAGATAGCTAGGACTTGAATTTGAACTGGCATGGGCCATTTGAGGTGAGTGCGAGTTTGGCAGGGCAATAGCTCAGTGGACAGGAGTCTCCTTTGTCCATATACCTGAGTATGTATCAGTGTCTACGCCCAGTAACGGCTTGGCGATGGAAGCGTCATAGTGAAATTGTCCTTTCTTCTTTTCCTCGTCTGATGAAACGAAAGGGTTAACGTGCATAGTGTATGCAAGTGCTGTTTCTCGAACCAGCATAAAGCTCTTCTTGGGTAGTATCTCTATTTCCTCTAAAGCCTACAGTGTTTGAATATAAACCGAGGTCAAGCGTTTGGATTACTCATGTGAAAACATGTCTAGCCATCTATATGCTGCATTCCACCTGCGGTACGAGATCTTCAAGAAGAATGTATAGTGATTACTTGTTTCTGAAGTCAGGGGAGCTTTCCCTTGATGGAAGTTGGATTTATTAGACAGGAATTGGACTAGCCAGCAGCAGCAGCTATCGATAGAGATGCCAAGGAATCTCTCATGAGCGATGGACCCGCGTGCCATGACGGCGATCTGCAACCGCTCCCTGCACTGCTCTGCTCTGCCGCGACCACCCGCCAACTCCATCATGCACCCTCACCCGCCGTGTGGTTCTCGGATTTGCGGATAGCCCGGATTGCACCTCGCTGGAGCAAACCCATGCACACATTCTCTAGTTCTTAATCAATATTTATTCTAGCAATAACCCACAAGCTTGCCCTCCCAGGCGACACAACCGGACTGCCCACCATGGACATGATCCGCGTTAGCAAGGTACGAGAAACTCCCAGCTTCGTGGTATATACCCTAGCTGATCGCAATCAGGTCGAAGATGTTGTGATGCACCGGAGAGGCGTCCGCTTCGAAGGCAACCTCCACCTGATGCAGCACCATATCGTTTTCAGGTACCAACCGGCCCCACCTCCAGACAGCTCTCATACGAGACTCCCGCCCAAGAAGGAAGTCTGGATAACGTATCCGATAATATCCCATTGCGTCCTGCACCTAGCTCCCATCGGCCACCCTCAAGCTTCCCACATTCGTTTACGATGTCGCGACTTCACATTCTTCATGTTCCACTTCCCCGACGACAAGGTCGCTCGCGATGTATACGAGAGCATACGATCCCTTTCATGCAAGCTCGGCCGGCTGGACAAGCTACTGGCATTCGCCTACCAGCCTAAGCCTCCCGAAGACAAGTTCAATGGGTGGGAAATATACGATGCCCGTAGGGAGTACAAGCGTCTAGGCATCAGTCCCAAGGACTCGGACAAAGGCTGGAGAATTTCGGAGATCAACAAAAACTACGAAGTATGCCAACTTCATCCTCAGATGGCGCACAGACTAACACCAGAATGACTACAGTTCTCCCAGACGTACCCCTCCGTCCTCGTTGTCCCCTCTAAGATTTCGGATAACGTCCTTAACTACGCAGGCCGCTTTCGCTCCCGCCAACGGATACCGGTGCTTGTTTACCGCCACCCGATAAATAACTGTTCCATAACGAGAAGCTCGCAGCCGCAACCGGGGCTTCGGGGGAATCGCAATCCACAGGATGAGAGTCTTGTTGCTGCCATTTTCGACACCAACAGCGGATGGAGGACCATGCAAAGGGCGACGGCGGTAGCACCTTGCACACCCCCTAAGCTAAGTTCCGAAGGCAGCACGATAGACGTTGCCGATCGAGATGATGGATCCTACCCTTCGGCCGTGCTCGAGCCTGAAACTGGGGACTCCAGCCTTACAGGCTCGGAAGAACATCTTGGTGCATCTATAGAAGCGGCCGACCGCCCTAAAATATATGGGGCCCAGCAGCGGAACCTTATTGTCGACGCGCGGCCAACGGTGAATGCGATGGTAATGCAAGCTGTTGGTCAGGGCTCCGAGAAGATGGAATACTATCCGAATGCTGAGAAGGCATATCTTGGAATCGACAATATCCATGTCATGCGGAGATCTCTCAACGCTGTAGTGGAAGCACTGAAGGACTCTGATTTCCTGGAATACAAGCCGGCCGCGAAAGCGCTGCAAAGCAGTGGCTGGCTTAAGCACATTGACAACATTCTCAAAGGAACAGATTTGATTGCACGTAGGGTGGGTATCATGCATTCACATGTCTTGATACATTGCTCGGATGGCTGGGACCGAACCAGCCAGCTCAGTGCGCTCAGTCAGATCTGTCTGGATCCATACTACCGCACCTTGGAGGGTTTCATCGTCTTGGTGGAGAAGGACTGGTTGTCATTCGGCCACATGTTCCGCCATCGGTCCGGATTCTTGGGCAGCGATAAATGGTTCGAGATTGAGAATGACCGCGTCGAGAGAAAAGCAGATGCGTCTGGTGGTGGTGGGAACGCTTTCGAGAACGCTCTCCGGGGTGCCCGAGGTCTCTTCAACCGCCAGAATGGGTCCACCGAGGCTTTGGCACGGCAACAAGAACTGGGTCCCGCTGAGTTGCAACCTGTATCGGATAGTATGCTCCCAACTGAGCCAAGTTACAGACCCTCTCCGACCACAATTGGTGCCGCAGAAGAACATCGGGTCACCAAGGTCAACGAGCTGTCGCCCGTCTTTCACCAGTTCCTCGACGCTGTCTACCAACTAGCATACCAGTATCCCACGCGCTTTGAGTTCAACGAACGATTCCTCAGACGTCTGTTGTACCACCTCTATTCCTGTCAGTATGGCACATTTCTGTTCGATAGCGAGAAGGAGCGCGTCGAAGCGAGGGCGGCACAACGGACACGAAGCGTTTGGGATTACTTCCTCTGCCGGAAACAGGAGTTTCTGAATGAAAAGTACGACCCCGTTGTAGACGACAGTATCCGTGGAAAAGAACGCATGATCTTCCCGCAGAGGGGCAAAGTCAGGTGGTGGGCTGAAGTGTTCGGTAGAGCCGACGAAGACATGAACGGCCCAACGCAGACGGCTTCCCTCATGGCACAGGTGACCACGTTGGACGATGAATATAATGGCGGACGGACGCCTATGCGGTCGGGGACCACCACGCCTCAGCCGTATTCCGAGCAGATCGTTACCGGGAAGGAATCCGCAGAAGGTGCCACTGGAGCAGGGACGACGGTACACCCTTCAAGTAATGTCTTACCAACAGCGAGCGAGTGGAGTCAGACGCTGGGATCAAACATTAGCAGAGGATTGACAGCCGGCATCGAGAGGCTGGGTATCCAGAGCACCAATCGAGGCGTGGGGGGCGATAGGAGAACCAGCAGGCCTAGGAGTCCTGCCGCGGAAGCCCCGGATGAGATGGGGGTGGAGATGCAGTAGGGTCGCTGCATTTCTGCTGGGCGGTCGGTATTCATTCATCTATCATTTGCTTTTTGTGGCGTCGCTTCTAGATACCCACGCATGGCGGGTCTGGGGTCACGGGGCGTGGTTTAAGCATATTTGTACTGGTATTTCATGAGATGGAGCTATGCGGGCTGGATGGCATAGGACGTGGGTCGCATTGGGCTTGTCATTAGACTGACCGAGTCTGAGAGTATTGAGGATCAGAGACGGGGCTTCGTCGCCGTCTTCCGCCTTCCACTGTCGCAAAACCTGCAGATGAGTGATGTTTCCCTTCTCTAATAGTGTTGCTGTGTATGTCCCGTATACAGAGATATTAAGACATCCAGATTCGAATGACTGAGATAGTCTAGTGAGGTGTTTAGCAATTGGATGTAAAAAGTAGCAGTATTTGATCCTGCACAAGCGGGTAGCCCGGGACGTTTTTCTCTATATACCACTAGAGATAACCATCATTTTCGGCGAATTCATAGCCCAGCAAGCAAGTTCCGAGCATCCAGCATTGCTCAATCTGGACGCCTGATGAAAACTCACCGGGCTCTACCAAGTAGGTGGCTCATGGAGAAATAGGAAATGAAAGCTGTCTAACAGGAAGAACCGCTGCAAGCGGACATCGTTCGATGCGTGGGACACTCGTAAAATCCCTTACCCCATGCCGGAAATCTATCTGGTATCGTGTATCGTGTACAATTCCATTCTAACCTTTTATCCTTAGTTGATTTTCAGATCCGCCACACCATTCGCGAGATCCTTCAGCCTCTTCTGCACCTCCGGGATCAGGTCCTCCTTGGGAACCAGCACACCATCCTTCTCCGGATCCTTCGGGTCCCGAACGCCCAACTTCTTGATCTTGACCTTCCCATCCTTCAGCTCATCCTCTCCCAGAATCACGGCGAGCGGGATATTGGCCACCTCGGCGGCCTTGAATTGCGCCTGAAACTTGGGCTTGACCTTGTACGAATACTCGGTTCGGATCCCGGCGTCCCACAGCTGGCGCGCGATTTGCATTCTCTCGATGAGCATGCCGTCGAACCCCTTCCCTCCCATCGCCATGACAAACACGTCAATGTCTTTTGCTTTGGCTGTGACCTTCTTTTGCGCCTGGACGACACTGATGATGCGGTCGACACCGAAGGAGATGCCAACGCAGGGGATCGGCTTGCCGCTGAACATACCAACTAGTTGGTCGTAGCGACCGCCAGCAGCGACTGTTTACACAGGTTAGTATGGTTCCCTCACACATGTATCGTATAAGGGTAAAATAAAAATCAACGTACCACTTCCGACTCCAACAGCGGCCTCGCTCCCCTTGGCGGCATTCTTGGGCGGCGCTGACCCCTCAGTCACAACCTCGTAGATGACGCCAGTGTAGTAATCGAGGCCGCGGGCAAGCGACAGGTCGAATGATATCCGGTCCATGGCGTCAAAGGCCTTGAGGTAGGTGAACAGCAGTTCCATGTCCTGGACACCGGCCTTGATATCTTCCGAAGCAAAGAGCTTCTCGTCCCCCTTGATCAGATCGATCACGTCGTTGCCTCCCTTGAACTTGACGTATCCGCCAATCGTGTCGGCGACATTTTCCTGCAGACCCTTCTCCAGCATCTCCTTCTTTACGTCCTCCCAGGAAATTTTATCCAGCTTATCCACTGCTGATGATATTGACCGAATGAGAGGTTCGGGAACGCCAGCGACCTTGAAGATACCGTCGAGAATCTTCCTGTGATTGATCTTGATCTGTCCTAGAGGTCAACGTGACGAACGCATATAGCCAAGTTTCGGGTACTGACGGTGTACTGCTCCCAGCCAAGCCCATCAAACACCTCGTTGACAATTCGGAGGATTTCGGCGTCAGGAATCATGGGATCGTATGCGCCGGCAATATCAATGTCGCATTGATAGAACTCCCGCATTCTGCCTTTTGTCATGGCCTATTCTGTCAGCCTTTGTCCTGACCAGTACCAGAACTCCTTGACATACCGGCTGGTCTCTGCGATACACCTTCGCTATCTGGTATCTCCTGAAGGTTTGTATTGAGGGGTTCATGGCAAGGTATCGAGCGAGCGGAACCGTGAGGTCGTATCGTAACGAGCAGATCTCTCCACCCTGATCCGCAAGATCGTATATGAGCTTGGAATCCTCTCCATATTTCCCTGCTAATATGTCGCGCAGTTCGAATACAGGCGTGTCGAGACTCGTTGCGCCGTGGCGTTTGAAGACGTCGGTGATCTTGGAAAAGATGGAATCGCGCAGCGCAACATCGTCGCCAACCCCTATTGACAGGCGTCAGAAATGGCACTTGATCCCTGCATCTCCAGGGTAGGCATACAATCTCTTGTCCCCTTGGGCACCTTCAACTGGAAGTTCCCTCCCTTCTTCTCTTCCTTGTCCTTCCCCATCTCGTCTTCACCAAGCCTGGGTGCCGCTTGTTGATTGCCAAATAACCTCAATGCCTGCTGGAACCGGGGTGAAACTTTTGAACGTGGTACGGCGGAGGTAATGTGGAAGGGAACTAGTCGCGTAGGGCGGAGGGGCAATGAGGGGTGTCGGAATAATGCCTGCATAGAAAAGTTGGAGTGGTGAGTCAGGGTGAAGGAGTAGAAGTGGTGGCGTTGGTGGCTAGTGACGCTTGGCGTTCTGCTGTCCAGTGCCGTGCCGCACCGAGATGTCTACAAGTATGATTTTGAGTTCATGGACGTTTACTTCCGGCCACAATGATAAGAGACTGGAATAGTCTCTAGGACAGCTACGGAGTGCTTCCATGCTTACTAACCCGGGTTCACGGGCGATGATATAATCCCCGCAAAGGACGAGATAGTGTTAATCTCCAACAACGTGCTAATGGGAGGCATACAATGTATCCTCACATTTTGATATACCATACCCCCCACGCAATTGACGATGCAAGGGACGATTGAAGGACAGCTCACCGATATCTTCACTGCACAGGAACTGGGCATAAAGAGATCGTCATATCACACTAAGCTGAGAGAGAAATGACGCCAAAAAACACCTTAGAGAAGGTTGAACCTACACATCCAAGACAAGAAATCCTTACCCCTAGACCCGCCCTCGCCTCTCAAAGAGCGTCGTAGATATGTGAACAGACATCTCACAAATAAATGTCGCAGGATGGATGCCGCTGGAGCAAGCCTGCTCGACATTCCCATCCAGAACAGCGGCTACATGAGAAAAGAAAGACAAGGAGGTGTTCCCTCCTGTACTCCAAGTTAAGAGGCCAAGCCTGGCTTCAAGCCCACCCGACTGACCGTCCGCCCAAGAAGCGTCATCCGGTATTTCGAATATGGCAACGGTCAATTTCCAATTTCGTCAGCGAATATATACCGCGTCACAATGTCCGTCATCACATCGTGGGTGGCGTGTGGTACGAACAGCTTGTGATATCGACCGCGTCGACTCTTCACTCAGCATCCTCGTCGCTAGCATCGAGAATATCGTATTCTTCATCCGTCAAAAAGCTGTCGCCATCCGTGGCAGATTGGATGTCAACGCTCTCGGCATCCTCGAAGAACTCCTCGCTAGAGTCGGCGGAAGAGCTAGCACTTGTAGAGCTCCGTGCCTTGACATCCGCTTCACCGATTTTAGCAGATCCGGGCTCGTGAACGCTGGAAGCGGGCGACTCTTTCTCAAGCTTGGGGAAGATCATTCGGGAAGACTCCGCCTCGGGAGAGACTGGCTTAGGGCTTGTCGCTTGAGTATCCTCCCTCTCCGTTGCCACCGCTGCTGGTGTGACCGACGCTTCTGGCTTGGAGACTTCCGGTGCTGTTGCAACCTCGACCAACTTTTCGGCCTTTGGCACATTGAGGTCACATTCGATTAGCTTCTCCTTCGGAGGCTCATCCAGATGCTTCTCCGAGCGAGACTCTGGGGCCTCCACTGGGTGATCGCGATCTGATAGTTCATACCCAGCCAGTTTCTCTCTAATTGTGCGATCCGGCATCACCCGGAGCATGCGCTGGGAATCAGACGTACTCATTGGGGCCAACTGTCCGCTGCGCATGGATGCGGCCATGTCGGAGCTCAGCACTGCGCTTGGCGGGATGTATCCGCCCATCAACGGGAACATGGGAGGGGCTACTTGAGACCAGGGCGACGGGAGGGTGGCCGGTGGAATCGAGGGAGCGACGACTTGGATGTCACACCAAAGGCGGTGGCCAAACGGAACACCTTCAGGTGTGTTCAACCGCCAATAAGAGATGGAAGCCCCCAAGCGCGACGGCGCTTTCAAAATGGCACGGAAGGTAGCCTCTTCTCCTGGGTTGACAGGGCGAAGAATCGGATTGGTAGAGCGAGCCGTGGAGAACTCCTGCTGACTGACAGCACGAGTGTGGTCGAGATTGAGCATGGAATCTCCTGCGGTATACTGAACACAACAACCTGCCGGCCAGGAATTGGGGCCCGGGTTCTTCAGAGTCCAGGTTTGCACAAATACACTGCCGGCGCTTATCGGTGTACCATCAGAGACACTCTCGCGAATGAACTGTGCATCAAGCTTTGAGGCATCGGGGGTGCGTTCCGGGGAGGTGGTTTCCTTGCAGGTGGGAGCCGTAGCAGCGGCGGAAGTGGGTTGGCTGTCCGGAGCCTTCTCCTTGACCGGATCGACCAGAAGCGTGTGGATGTCACTCTTCTTCTCTGGGATCTTGGTGTGGTCTGGCCCGGCGGGGTGCAGGTGGGCAACGGTCTGCACCTTCATGGCGTTGGGAGGGGTATGCACAGACGGTTGGCAATGGGGCCTGTTGGAAGGCCTATCGCCAAACTGTGCCATCGTTTGTCCATCTTTACCGCCCTCCACCAATGTCGTCATGCTGACATTTCGAACAGGCGTCTTGAACTTGATCAGTGGATGAGTATGGCTGTGCTTGTTGTCTGGGAGTGCCTCGCATTTGGCACAGAAATCCGTGTCATGACAGACGGCACACTTGTAACGGACTCCCTCAATGTACGAGACATCGGGTCTCCCCTTGCAAAGGGGGCCGTCACAATAGATGCCGACATGGCGCGTTCCGAAGGCTTGGGATTCAGCCAAGGGCTCATAGATGGGAACGAAGCGGTGGCGCGGATGAGTGCGTTGAGCGGTTTTGTAGCAGTCGTCGCAGAAGTCCCAATCAGGGCAGCTTAGACACTTGTGACGCACACCGTAAATAAACTAGAGGAGTTAGAAACAGACCTAATGCAGAGGAAGGGTAGGCAAACCTTATTGCACCGGTCGCAGATGGCGGAATGGCGGACATTTCTACCTGCCTTGCAGAGAAAGGCTGCAACGGCGGGTAATTTAACATCATCAAGCGCAGCTTTGAAGACGTGCCCAGGGTGGTGGCCATGCTTGTTCTGCATGTGACAGTAGAAGCAGAGGTCATAATCCTCACACGTAGTGCAAGTAACAAACTGGTCCTCTGGTAACACTATAATCCGTAAGCGTAAGGAATGACCAGGCGCAATGAAAAGGGAATTTGAGCTTACCTCTTACGCAGCAGTTACAAGTGCGATTAGGCTCTTCCTCAGCCTGCTGTGTAGACTGATCAGATTCGACGACAGCAGGCTGCTTATCGTCCAAAAAGGCTCCAGGCATCTCATCATGCGACTTACGCTTCGGACCGATTTGTTCAGTGATGCTGCTGAAGAATTGGCCGTCCTTATAGAATCGCTTGACCAACCAGTGAGAATCATTCAAGCAGTGCTTCCCAGCGTTAACACACTTCAAGCAGAGATCGTAGTCTCCGCTCTCGCAGATGCTACAATGGTAATGAAAGACGTCTTCAACGGTTAGTTTGCACTCGTTGCAGAATATGACCCAAGCACCAATGATACGCCTTTCAGGGCTGGGAGTGGAAGCATCGGCATCGGTTGTGGGTGCTACGACTGGAGTAGCGGTAGCTGAGGAAGGCGTCGCATTTTTCTCGTCCGCGATAGCTGCAGGAATAATGGCCGTTGGTGTTGGCAAAGTGTCCATTGCCGACGCCTCGGGGACATTCGCGGCCTGTGTTATGGGGTATTGGACTCCATTCAGCTCGGGGAGCACATCGGAGGGTTGGGCAGTGTTGGCAAGCCGCATTGCTGTCAGCCGCGCCATGGCTTCGGCAACTCTGTGATCGCGGGTAGCTCTGATGCGGAGCTTGAGTTTGGCCTTTGCAGCTCGGAAGAGTGTCTTGTAGACCTGAGGGTTCGTGGGGTCAAGGTAAACGAATGTCCCGGCACTGTCTGAATATCGCTCGAATCTCCAGTCCTCACCGGACTTGAGCTTCAAGTGCTGTCGGAGCTGCAGGACGTAGCCAAAGTCAGCACCCATATAGTGAGAGGCGGGCCGGAGCGTACCTTAACGGGGAAGGTCGGGAAGGTCAAGTCTCTAAGGGGGAGACTGAGGCGCTCGACTCGCCCATCGATGTTGACCTTGATTGTGACGGGTGTGTCTAGGGTCACTGGAACCTGTGGGCGTTCGGACTGAGTATTTGGTGGCATGATGCTGAGCGCAGGCTGACGGCGGCAAGTGTGACGTTATTGGTGAAAGCCGGCAATCAGACGCTGGAAGCTGGCATGCGAGAGCTACGCAGCAGACGGTGAATTCAAGCAGCAGTCCAGCTTCGCAGGGTGCAAGACTGACGTGTTGATGGGGAAAGCTGGTTATGACGATGGTGAAGTGATGGAGAGGGAAGGAAGGAGGAGGTGGAGAAGGAGTGGGGAAACTGAGGTCCAGCTCCCCAGGGAAGGAGCAACCAGCAGGCAGCTGCGTTACGTTAGGGACGCGGCGTCCACAGGGATATTCCTGTGGTCAAAGCGCGGATCTGATGCCGGTCAGAGTCAACTGATCGATTGATGCTTCCACCGCCGGTGAACAACCGCTTGAACCTTGCTTCCATGAGAGAGGGTTGGCAGAGGATATATCAATACTGTATTGCAAGTCGGAGGGACGGAGGAAAATAGTAAACTGGTCCTTGATACTGAAAATCGATTGACCACTTCCCAGAACACGTGATGAATCGCCAAGGAGCAGCAATCACGCCTTGTCACACAAGGCCACTCCTCAGAGAGTTGCTCTCCAGACTCTCCTTACTGGCTGATCGGTGGCACACATGAGATGGAACCTCGACCTTGGACTTGGAGGCCTCTCTATATCCGTACCATTGACCTATTATCCATTCGTGGGTCGTGATAGAATCCATACACGCACTACCATAGGGTACCTAGGTAATCGAATGCTGGCTATGCCCGGGGGGTGGGGTTGATAACAAATACAGTATCGCCGTCGATCATAACGCGCTAACATATGTGCCAATTTATAGCGCTGCTGACTAACCCAACATTTTCCATTTTCGAGGCGACTGAGCGGGCCCGGCGTCTTCCAAAAATTCCCACGGCCTATCCCATTCTTTGGCAGCTATGTCGAAGACTGAGACACCCACCCAGGAAGATGCATGGGCGATAAGAAAAGAAGAGCGCAGGAAGAGGAAGGAGCTCAAGGAGAAGCAGAAGCGCGAGAAGGGCAATGCTGAGGGAGATGCGAAGAAGTCAGACAGCAAGAAGCGGAAGCGCGAGGCCCTCCCCGAAGAGCTGGAAATCAAGGTGGACCTCCCGGAGCCGCCGTCCAAGAAGGAACTACGCAATGCGAAGAAACTCAAGGAGAATTCGAAATCCGCTGCGTCCGAGTCCATCAGCCGCGAACCGAGCGCGAAGAAGCCGAAGACAGACAACAATGAAGAGGAGCAGAAGGCTGGAAAGCGCTCCGAGTACGGAGTGTGGATCGGAAACCTACCATGGTCCGCTACCAAAGAGACGCTGCGAAAGTTTCTGACGGAAAATTCGGACATCACCAACGAGCAAATCACCCGCGTGAACATGCCCGCCCCCACAAAACCTCCGAATCCCAACTGGACCACGAAGCCGCTCAACAAAGGGTTTGCGTACGTTGACTTTTCCGACCAATTGTCCATGTACTCCGCGATAGCTCTGACGGAAACGAAAATGGATGGAAGGCCGCTTCTCATCAAGAACGCCAAAAGTTTCGAGGGTCGCCCCGAGAAGCCCAAGACAGATGAAACCGCAGAGAGTGGGAAGAAAGGGAAGGAAGGCAAACCGCCCAACAAGCGGGTTTTTGTCGGGAACTTGGCTTTCGATGTGACAAAGGAGGACTTGACTCAACATTTCAGCCAGTGCGGTGATATTGCAGATATTCACATGGCCACGTTTGAGGATTCTGGGAAGTGCAAGGGCTATGCGTGGATTACGTTTGAGTCAATAGACTCCGCGGCATCGGCAGTGAAGGGCTTCATTTACAAGGAGTCAGCTAAGGACGATGCAGACGAGTCGGAAGAGGAAGGAGCCGGGAAATCGAAGAAGGTGAAGTGGTTCGTCAACAGGTTAATGGGGAGGGACCTTCGTTGCGAGTTTGCGGAAGACTCCACCACCAGATACAACAAGCGATATGGGAAGGAGAAGCAAGCCGACATGGAGGGCGTGCACCCGGAGCGTATACGGCGCCTGGGTGGAGAGGACCGACCGCAGCGAGGACGTCAGGGCAAGCAACCTCGAGAGAAAGGACCTCGGGGCAAAGTAGACTCTCGATCGATCAAGTCTGGCGCTGCCCATACGAATGCACCCAGAGGCCCGCAAGGGATTGTTGAAGCTCGGGGTACGAAGATCACATTTGACTAAGAAAATCCGCATTGAGCAGAGGTTTTCGATCGTTCATAGCTTTATGATACCCATGATGGCCATACTATGGTTCTCTGAGACATGTCGATCGTAGCTGTGAAGCATTGGGTCAAGTTGTCTTTCAGCACACGATACTCATACTGTTCGTTCTCCCACCTTTCTGAAAATGCACCGGTTAAATTCTTTAAGTTCCGTAAATTCCGGTGGGCATCACAACTACTGCTACAGCGGGGCAGATGTCTGCTAGCCGTACCCCGCCAGCATTCCTATCAAAGCCATTTGTCATTCATAACTCCCTTAAAGGTCATTCTCTTTGCCATTCTACTTTCCGTATCTTCAATACTCAATCTGCAGGTGAATCCACGGGAATACTGCTTTCTTACCAACACAATGGCTGCACCCCCGTCCGACCTGCCCGAGATGGAGTACCGTTTCCTGGGGCGTTCTGGGTTGCAGGTTTCGGAGATCTCGTTGGGAGGTTGGCTTACCTATGGAGGCCATGTCGATGATGGTATGTGGAATATATCGTCTCTTATCTGTTAAACCTTCCTCATGTTCTTCTTCGTTTGCCTCTTGTGCTTCCAGTCACCGTAATATCGTCCGTTATCAATACGTTCACTTGAGTACATGAGGCTACCAATTGGGCCATCATGTTCAACATCTTTTTCACCCCAATCGATAGCGTGTGTCCGACAAGAAATGGCTCCGCGAAATGGAGATTTCGAATAGACTGACACTGCTTTCAGAAAAGACTTTTGCTTGCCTGAAAGCGGCCTATGACGCCGGCATCAACTTCTTCGACTGTGCAGAGGGTTACGCAGGCGGAGAGAGCGAGAAGGTCATGGGCAGAGCAATCAAGCACTTTGGCTGGAAGCGCAACGACATTGTCGTCTCCACAAAGGTACCATACCCCCTAAGCCAATTTCCCTTCTCCCACACTCTTCAATGCTACCTGTACAATGCCTTCTCACACTCACACTCCCCAGATCAACTGGGGCAGCGCCAATTCTGCCCTCCCTGCCCCCCGCAACAAAATCAACAACCTTGGTCTCTCTCGCAAGCACATCATCGAGGGCACCGACTTGGCACTTGAACGCCTCCAACTTTCCTACGTCGACATCATCTACGCCCACCGTCCAGACCGCCATACCCCTATGGAAGAAACCGTGCGAGCCTTCAACCACGTGATCAACACTGGCAAGGCATTCTACTGGGGAACTTCCGAGTGGCTTGCCTCCGAGATTGAGGAAGCGTGGGCGGTTGCTGATCGGCATGGACTGATTGGCCCTATTGTGGAGCAGCCTGGATACTCCCTGCTGAGGCCCGAGAAGGTGGACGGGGAATTCAAGCATGCAAGGCTGTATTCCCGCCGCGGACTGGGACTCACCGTCTTCTCTCCTCTCGCCGGCGGTCTTCTGACGGGCAAGTACATTAACGGAATACCGCCGGACTCTCGTCTTGCCACTTCCAAGGACGGATACATTCAGTCCGTGGTCGCTGGCGTTGGCAACGAGAAGTGGAATAAGGAGCAAGAGAGTGTGAAGAAGCTGATCAAGATTGCCGAGAGATTGAACACCGATGTAGCGACGCTCAGTCTTGCGTGGGTGCTCAGCAATAACGTTGTGAGTTCAGCCATCACAGGAGCCAGTCGACCGGAGCAGTTGTGGCAGACTGTGAAGGCGGTCAGTGTGAAGAAGCAGCTGACGAAGGAGATTCTGGATGAGATTGACGAGGTGATGGGTAACAAGCCCGAGGAGCTGACTATGAGATTTGGTTAGCGTCTATCAAGATGGAAGATCTACCGAATATACATGTCCTACCGCTATTTAGACAATAATAGACCGCAAAGAGTAGAGTACTCAGCCAGGTGGCGACATCAGGTCCATAGCGCTATTCCCATCTGCATCTGGCCGGCCCCCCCCTCACAATGCAAGGTCTCACTCTCGCCGTCAGACGCCTCTCCTGTCATCCAAAATCACTCAGAACAATGACATTTTGTTCCAATTCACACTTTTGCCCCCCAAAAGGGGAATTCCTGCCAAGCGCCACCCTTATCGATTACACTAGCGCACTCGGCCCGCACCCCGCCGAACCGGGCCTGAGTCACTTTTTGAGTTACCATTCCAAAATCACTTCCTTCAGCGCCTTCTTAAATCCTAATCCACTCATTTCCCTGCGGCCACCCAATTCGACAACCAAGTACACACACCAATTCCAAGTATTCCATCCACCATGGTCGAAGCCGATTCCACACCCCTCACAGTCCCCAGCGGCGGGGTAACAGGCACCACAGAACAAGTCGCCGTACCCGCAACACTACCTTTGCGCAATGGGTCGAGCGAAACGGCGTCGCCGGAGGAGCGACTGGCGCTGATCAAAGAGAACCTGGCTGAAGTTCTGGACGGGGAGATCATCGAAAAGATCCTCAAGGAGGGAAGACATCCCAAGATCTACTGGGGTACGTGGTTTTGTTGTCTCCTCCAAGAGCACCTTCAGTAGTAGGAGACGTTTGATGTACTGACAGTGGCATATAGGCACCGCAACCACCGGCCGCCCTCACTGCGGCTACTTCGTCCCCGCCATCAAAATAGCACAGTACCTCGCCGCGGGATGCGACGTCACCATCCTCCTAGCCGACATCCACGGCTTCCTAGACAACCTGAAAGCGCCCATCGAGCTCGTCGAGCAACGCGCAGAATACTACCGCTTCGTAATATCGGCCATGCTCGAGGGCATCGGCGTCCCCCTGGACAAGCTGAAATTCGTCCTGGGAAGTTCCTACCAGAAGAGCGCAGAGTACGTCATGGATCTGTACAAAATGGCATCTGTAGTATCGGAGCACGACGCAAAGAAAGCCGGCGCCGAGGTCGTCAAGCAGACGGAGAATGCGCCCCTGAGCGGCCTCCTCTACCCCCTCCTCCAAGTCCTCGATGAGCAGTACCTAGACGTCGACGCGCAATTCGGCGGCGTCGACCAGCGCAAACTCTTCACCGCCGCGAAAGAATGGCTCCCAAAGCTCGGATACAAGCAGCGCGCACACCTGCTCAACCCCATGGTCCCCGGCCTGCACGGCGGGAAAATGAGCTCGAGCGACGCGGACAGCAAAATCGATCTCCTCGACCCCCCGGACGTGGTCCTCAAGAAGATCAAAAAGGCGGTCGCGGCCCCCAAAGTCGTCGAGGAGAACGGCGTGCTCGCTTTCGTCGAATTCGTGCTGCTTCCCGCTGCCGCGCTGAGGGGCAACCGCGAGTTCCGCGTCGATCGGGAGAGGGATGGTCTGGAGCCCTTGGTCTACACGTCCATTTCCCAGATGCATGAGGATTACAGAAATGACGTCCTGACGCCGCAGTTGCTCAAGCCCGCGGTGGCAAAGGGGATCAATGAGCTCCTTGCTCCTATTCAGGCGGCCTTCCAGGCATCCAAGGAGTGGCAGGAGACGACGCTCAAGGCCTATCCGCCACCGCCGAAGAAGGAGAAGAAGGTGAAGAATAAGGGGACGGGATACCCGGGCTTGAAGAAAAAGGAAGAGGAACAGGCGGCTGCACAGAACGCTGTCGATGGTGGTGCTGCTGCGACGTCATGACAGTAAGACTGTTCTTAGACTAGTTGTTGGCATGTTTGGGTAGACCTTTAGCACATATACCCCCCTAATTCACGAATGATATGAACGTTTCTTAGCGGGACGTATTAGACTTGTCCAGCTGTGATTGTATCGAAGTGTGATTGTGTTTAACAATTCTCATGCCTTCTTTCTACTAACCCGATGAAACTCCCCTGTGTCCGTGCGACCCTTTTCAATGTACTGCACCTTTTCCCATCCAATTGAACAACCAGGGGTCGCAGGGGTGTAACAGACGCTGTTCATGGTTTAACAGCGTTTCCGTCTAAGTAAATCAGGCTTAAACCCCTGGGAACGCAGTGCCCCAATGGCGTACTCAGATTGTAACCAACTCAATTGCTTAAAATAAGTAACCTAATTTAGAGAAGAAGTACAAGAGGTGTTCAGTCAGCAGTAGCATGATGTGCCGACTCTCAATTCTATCCAGACCGCCGTGAACACCCTCTAGCATGAGTAACAATCTTCCGTTTCAACGAATGTGGTCAACGCCTATGCACCATGAGCGTTCCAAATACCTAGAACCCCACCAAATCCGCCCATGTCCACATGCAAAATCTCTATTACCCAATCCGCACTAGTGGATATTCGTTCACTGCCCTCCCTATCACTCCGGCAACACCCCTCATGGTAGCCGCACAAGCCCTCGGATGGAGAGTAGCAAGATTGGTTGTGGAATCCCCAGGCCCTTGCTCAACCGCACGTGTAGGAGCCAACTCAATGGTGGTGCTCATTTCAGAAACAGGGGAGCCCGGATCCTTGAACGTTGTAGACCAGCCTTTGGACGGGGACTCTCGAAGGTCACCAGGGTCAATCAGCGTGGCGATAAGATGAGAATGATCCCAGTCCATAATCATCGGGAAGGCAATATACTCAGTCGTCTGGTCTTTCGAATGCTGCTCCTCTTGAATGGCTGTGAGTCGCCAGAACTCAGGGAGGGCGCCCTGGACAATAAAACTTTGGGGGGTTATACCCTCCTTCACGACCGGTTTGGTACCATCGTTGGATGAAGAAGCTGATTTGGTCCGGCGGATCGTGATGCCGCATTTCCTCTCGTCTCCATAGGGTACACTGCTTGTGGTGGTCGGCCAGATCGAAGTCATGTTGCGGAAGGCGGCCCGAAAGGGTGTCAAGTCCGGAATTTGCGAAAAAGAGGAGCCCAATGTGACCAAGAGCGCAATGGCGTAGGCTCGATAAGGGGTATGAGCCACTTGAATGAAACTAAAGTAGTAATTCAAGACACCAATAATCAGGCTCATCGACACCGCGGAAGGATGATCCTGAGCTTGAAATTTCCGGGGAGCCATCATCATAAATGTGACTGCCGTAAGTGCAACGCCGTTGGGCAGGCTCATCTTCCAGAGCAGATTGTAAGTGTGCAGAACATAGAGCGCAGCTTCGACCGGCTTCATTCCAAGCTCCTGAATCCCAGTAATGGTGGTATAATTGGGGGTGCTGTCTTTCAACAGTAACCAGCACCCGAAGAGGCTGGTGACGTTGATTGTCAGTGTAGCGACGTGGCCTTGGAAATGTCTTCTCACTGTGCAGCGTGAAGGGCAGCGCGAGTATTCCGGCTTGTCAAGCCATGTAACCAATACCCTTCTCAGCAGGAAAATGGACGCCGCAGACGTTGCTTGCCAGGTAGTGCAAGCATCATACGTTGCAATGCACCACTGCAACAGCCTACCTGCGGGATCAGCCCACAAGGGAAAGGAGACTATGTCGAACAGTAAGCAAAGACACAGCAGAACACATGCCCAACGCCAGCCTGGGCCGTCTGCCATGGCCAAGCTCCTCCAAGATGCGAATAAGTTCGCTCCGACCACTAGAAGGAATACTGAACTGGATTTCCCCAGCACCTAGTAAGGATAAATCACCTCCAATAAACCTTCGACACCAAAGGTGACTGTTTGGTTGTTGCCGAGCGAGGATGTGAAGCGATTATACCAGGCCAAAAACAGCACAAGAGTGATGAGGACGCAAGCTGCATCTTGCTTCGCGAGCCAAAACTTGTCCTCCGACGGACGGACTGGTGGACCAATTGCTTGCTGGTCACTTGATGTCTGACTCACGGTCTCCCACAAGCTTGAATTTTCCGAATCGGAGATATGTTGGGAGGAGGTTAATACTTGTGTCTTCGAATATTGCAGCTTATCTCCCACAATCTCATCGTTCTGGAGGTTAGATGTCCTAGTATCGCCAAGTGGACCGCTTCCTTCAGGATTATTCGTTCCTTGGTTCGATGTCTTGATAGAATCCGAGCTGTGCATCAAGAACTCTGAGCGAGTCGGCCCAGAGCAAGGAGATTGTTGCTGCTCCCTTTCCCGGGGCTCCTTTACCTGAAGACCGGATCCTTCCTTGGGTTTCGGTGGATCAGCTCGAGATTCTGAAAGTGTTGATGCAGGTGGTGCTGAATCTTTTCGATTGCCTACAAGATGTCCATCCCCTTCAGAAGCAGAAGCTTGCCGACTGGGCTCTTGCGATCCGGCTTCAGCTTCTGATGGCGCCGCTCCATAAGTGGCAGGATCTGGTTGACTGCCTGTCAGACATCCATCGTCCTGAAGACTGCGTGCTTGCGCACTAGGTTCCTGTCGACTAGTTTCAGACTGCAACTGGGCGGAGCCATCTGTGGTGGAAGCTTGTTGACCGATTCCAACGTCGTCATTCCCCCGCACATCGGACGCTTGTGGCTTAGGACTCGGACGGCTAGTTCCACTGTCCGAGCGGTTTGAGACATAAGTGGTGGAACCCTGCTGACCGGTTTCCGGGCCCCTATCCACCTGGACGTTAGACTGATGAGATGCTCGCGGACGGGGCTCCTGTCGACAAGGATCCGCCCTCAAAAGGACGGCATTGATGGATCTATACCTGCTTAGATCAAGTTTCTTGCGCCTTGTAGCTTCGTTCATCTCAAGAATGGACGGCTCGGTTCTGGAATGGCCTCCATCTCCTGACTGAGATGCACATGCGACAATTGGACTGCCAAGGAGGTGTCCCTGTGAGCCGGGCTCTCGAGATTTATCGTCATGAAGGCGGGGTGTTTGCGGACAAGTGATATGAGGACCAGTGACCGACTCTCTGTGAGCGGTAGAATCTTGTCGAGCTTCGCTTGGAGACTGAGACTCTTCGGGAATTTTTTCTAACGAATGGAGCAATTGTGGTTTCGAAGCTCCCTGCGGGACCGATTCTGGGACATCAGACATGGTCGAGGGAAACAAGTCTAGTGGACACTGCTGGTGGAGGAGGCTGCCATAGCGGTGGTTATAACAAATGAAAGACAATTCAGTGATGATAATGTGCAATGCGTAGAGATAAAATATCAACAATGTCATGCAGTTTCATGGAGAGGGGTATGGCCCGTGTTGTGGGAAAAGTGAAGGGTGTTGACGGACGGAAGATCTGTCAATACCAAAGAGGGAGGTTATGGCAGGCGCGGTGGAGGCGTGATACACTCTCCGTACCTATCTAGTAGAATCTGACCGGGAGGAACTACGTATTCCGGGTTCATTAGCAACTGCATCTACATGTATGAATCTACGCCTGCTCACCGTTTGAATCTTTGTTCCTTACATTCAACCAAAATCCGACGAATGACGCATTTCCGGCCCGGTCACCCCTGAACGGGTAGAACCCGAGAGGCAAAATACTGCAAAATAGACAACTGCGCGAGCTTTTATAGCGCTCAACTTCTACCCGCCTCCTTTAGTCTGCGCTCCTCTTATGCTCTATAAAATCTGTTGTAAACGTAGAGAGGAAACATAAGCAGAACAAAGCGTCTTGCTTGTTTTTATTATTGAAGAATAAGCAGAGAAAATGCAAAAGACTCTAACGGTAATTCCAGGTAAGGGACTTGGGAAGGAGAAGTGAGGGAAATGGAAAGGGAACCCTTAGGAGCATCCCAGGACGGTCACGTACAGTCACTGAACGGGGAAAACCGAAAAACATAAGTGATCGCTCAAGTCCGCGAGCGGTGTGTATCTTGAATTCAAATTGCGTCAAGCCTGGCCTCACCAAAGCCATGGGATCATTCGCCTCCTGGAGCGTACCTTGTCCGCCCCGAATCGCTGCTCGTACCAAACCTTTGTGCCGCTAGCCGTAACGCCCAGATTCACCGCCACCAGTGCCGTGGCACATAGCAGCGTCCAGTTTACCTGCTTTGGAGTCGGCACGGCAAGGAACGCCATGAGCAGATAGATGAGGATCTCGCATGTGTAATGAGGACACAGGAGGCTAGGAAACAAAGGGTGGCATGGCAACTGGTAGGTGGAATGGGAGGTGCGAAGGCGGTAGAGGTAGGCGTGGTACGAATGCTGAAGTGCCTGGGATATGAGGATTGCGGGAGCGACGAGCATCACCCTGAAGGACGGCTTTTGACTCCCCTCGGAGTCAGGTACGTCCTCGATCCAGATGGCTACATTGACGGTGAGATAGAAGAGCACTCCCAGGACCCAGTGCCCAATCCACATGGTGCTCTTGCTTGACGACATGTAGGCGTACGACTCGAGCAAGCGGCGGATGCCCTGTAGCATCATGAGGAGCCACGCAAGTTGAACGCCCTGGCACATGTTGGAAAGGCCGATGGTGGAGCCCCAGGCGACAGTAGAGAGGCATGACACGAGGTAGAAGTGCGTAAAGTAGCCGTGGGGCACGCGCAGACTTGCCAGAGAGTCTAGAAGCTGATCTACCGTTGACGAGCGCTTTTCGGTAGCAGCTTGCGGTCCGGACGAGGAAGCGGAGATGGCCTCACGTGAACCGTAGACGAGAAAGCGGTTTCTCAGGGGGTGAAGGAGCTGGATGGCGAGGATCTGGGAGGAGGTGAAGCAACATGTCAGCGACGTTTAGGACACTGGGGAGGGCGGTTGAGAGGTTACAAGAGCGGCGGCGGCGAGGTAGAAGGCGCGTAGCAATATCACGGGTTCGAGCAGCCATCGGACGCTGTCCGGCAGCGAAGAAGGCATTGGGGACATGGGAAGAAGAGTTGTTGTTGCGTGCAGAGAGAAATCCAGCGTGTTTATGCCGGGAGCTGGGGAGGGTCGGTGTCGTCGTTGTGGGGACCGTGACACAACAGATATCTAGTCGTGTTGACCAGACATGTGATAATGAGATGGTAGCTCTGAAGAGGGACTGTCGCGTGCCTCTTGCAGAGGTATTGCTTACCGTGTAGGTACAACCTTTGTCAGAGTATTTAGTAGACATCTACTGTATTACCCTAGGTAGGGCTTGCTGCTACCCTAGGGTACGAGTACGCGGCTCCCGTTCTCCTTCTACTGAGGCGACACCCAAAACTCCATCGATAAACCGACGTCACTTTTTTATTCTCAAGAGAGGTCATGGCAGTCTCTTCCTCGGGCAATTTCCAACATGGCAGAAGTGCTGGGGTCGCTGGATGCCATCAGATTGATTAGGGGTGTTGCGCCCTCTGATTGGCTGCCCGCCCTGCTCGCCTCCTCTTTCCCTCGTCGCCCAGTTTTGAAGCGCCGCGCCGCCTTGTCTGCCCTTCTGCCACCCCCGTATCGCATCGTCTTCACTTCTTCTCTCACCTCTCCCCGACCCACACTCCTCCTCCTCCGGCCTCGCCCACGCCTCGCCCTTTCTTAACCATCCTCCATCTCCCCTTCCATCTCCACCTTCGCCCAGCCGTCCGCCACCACGCGTCTGTGTCGCTTTGCTCCTCGCCATCGACCTCGACCTCGTTCCCGTCCTCGTCCACGTCCCCGCCTGGCCTTTGACTGTCCTGCTCCTGGCACCCGCACACAAAGCACCTCCACGACCCGCCCAACCCCAGCGCATTCAGCGCGTTCGGCGCATCCAGCGCATCCAGCGCATCAAGCCCGCCCCTCGGCGCGTCATCGACTCCCCATCAACCCTACTTAACGGGCCGTCATGAGGCAGGAGCTCAACGGTCCTGTCCCCTTCCTGCGTGATGACCAGTAATGGCGAAGCTGCTCCGCTCCTGCACCCGCCGCCTGTTGGGAATGAGCCCCAAGACCGTCTACCCACCTCACCGCCACCCTCTCCTCCACCTCACACTGCCTCCCCGAACTCGCCCAAGAGTGCATCCGCAGCATCTTCTAGACAGAAGCGGGTATCAGACACACACCTGCGCAATGGAAACCATCCCTCCGAAGACCTTGCTAATGAGTCTGAGGCAGAAACAGTCGTCTTGGGTGACGCTGGCGAGGACGCCTTGACAGATTTACAGAGCATCAAGTTAGAGAATCACAATGGAGAACCTAGTGTCGACGAGGTGCCGCACGGTCCCAACTGCCGCAGCCTTTCACCAGACGCTGACCAGAAAGACTCCAACAACACCGAACCGGCCCACCCCACCGTTGAGCTTGATGCGAAGAGTCCAGTTCCCACCTCGCCCAGCAGCCGCACAACCTCGCGACATACCAAAGACACCAGCCCAACCGACTCTGCAAAGTCGTCTGGACGTCCGGCCGCCTCACCGCCTCTGCTCTCGGATCGCGGGCGCAGCTCCCCCACCACCGCGCCGCGCAAGCGCAAGCTACGCGACGAGTCCCACCCCAAGGCACTTGAACCTCCTCGCCAGAAAGCCAAAACCGAGGGCCTCCAACCGTCTGGCGCTCGCCGCTCTTCGCCTGCGACTTCTCCAGGCGTTGCGAGGCCTCACAAGCGATCGCATTCCACGCAATCCGCGCCCCACAACGGCTCTGGTCGCAGGCGCAAAGATCTCACTCCGCTGACGCTGCCACAAGATCTGACACATTGGTCCGAGTCCAGCTCGGAACGATCGTCTTCTCCCCGGCCCTCGCAGACGCCTCACGCGCTTTTACCACCGCGGCCAAAACGATCGTCGCATCGAGCGTTGACTTCTCCTGCACGTGCCATGGGCAAACGAAACGTTGACCAGTTCGGCGCCACGCGGCTAGCGCGTGAGAGCGAAAAGGGCGACTTGGAAGCCGTCAAGGCGGCCTACGAGACAGCTCCGTTGGAACTTGACCAAGAAGACTTCGCGGGTATTACGCCGTTGCAAAAAGCCGCACTGAATGGGCATACTGAGGTCGTAAAGTTTCTGCTCGACAAGCGCTGCCAGACGGACTGCGAAGCAAACAACGGCGACACGCCTCTAATCGACGCCGTGGAGAACGACCATCTTGAGATCGTCCGACTTCTTCTGGACCAAGGCCACGTAAATCCCCATCACCAAAATAAGAAGGGGAAGCGAGCGATTGACCTTCTCCGCCGCGACCGCCCCAATTATGAAGAAATCGAAAAAGCGTTAAAGGAGGCTATGAAGAAGCACGTGGACACCACAAGCAAGCAAAATCATGCACATTTGGGGGCCCGACAGAAGGTCGCGTCGAGGCTCTTATACAACGAGTTCAATACCGAGACGATGATAGAGAAAGCCGGTGAGGGGGACGCAGCGGCAGTCGGTGAGCTCCTCATGAGCAATATCAAGCCAAACATTGCGTGTGGTGTGGCTGCCTCGCGTGGGGGGCACGAAGATGTTCTTGGGCTCCTTCTGGCTTATGGACTCAAAGCAGATCCGGACCCCGCTAAGCACAGCGAGACTCCCATGCTGGTCGCTATTGGACGAGGGCACATCGAGATCATCAAGTTACTGCTGAAGCAAGATACCTTCAACCCAACCAGACGCAATCGAGAGGGGAAAACGTATTGGGAGATATCGGAAGAGAGGATGGGTCCCAGATGGGAGGAGGAGAGGGATGAATTGAAAAAGGCCTTTGACGAGTATCGGAACAGGATCAAGAGCCCCAAGAGACTCAAAAAGGAGATACCCATTCCAGCCACCATCCGTGCTAAGAAGAAGAGTTCTCCTTCCGGACGCGATCGATCGTCTTCCCCCCAACAAGAACCCCACCGTGCTCATCCCGCTAAATCATCTGCTGTTCCTCAAGCGCCACAAAAAGCAAGAAGATTGATGACCGGGAAGGAGATAGCAAATCGTGAAGGCAAGCGACGACGTCGGGTAGTTTCAGAGGACAGCTCTGACGATGAAAGTCACGATGAAGCACGGCCACCTCCAAAGAAAGAGAAGGTTACGGCGAACCGCCGATCTCAGAGCGAAGAGCCGCGTCCCGTCAAGAAGTATATCAAGCGTGTTGCCGATGGAGCCGTTTTCAAGAGACCGGTTCCTGCACACTCGGGTGTCAGCGACGACGAAGCTCGGGGGAAGCGTAATCCAAAGATCCGCACAAAGACCGCCGGAGGAACTGTTGCCAGGCCTTCAATCTCTGATGCTGACTCGCTGGATGAGCGAAAGCCTCTAAGTAAGGCAGCCAAGTCTCGCCTGGGTGACGACGCAACCACCAGGCGCCGTGCTTCTGACGCTTCCATGGACCATGCTTCCCAGATGAAGAGGCCGCCGACGCTGCCATCCGCCAAATCTACCCCTGGACCTCCTGATGAGGCCTCCCCTCCGGATTCCATTCGCGAACAGCACCAAGGTTTCGAAAAACATCTCCCGGAAACACAAAAGAAAAAGGGAGACACAGATGCACAGAAGGCAAAGGAGCAAGCAGCACGCCAATCCTTGCACGCTGAGGAAGTCCAGAATAGAATGGCAGCTGAGATCGCGGCTAAACGACAAGCAGAGGAGGCTGAGGCGGTCAGGAAGCAAAAACAGGAGGAAGCCAGGAGACGAGAGGCTGAAGAGGCAAGGGTTCGAGAAGAATTGGAGCAGGCTGCTCGCGAGGTACGCGTTTCCAAACTCCCTCGGGCTCTTCAACGGGCGTGCAAAATGGGGCTCAACCGGCCGCTACGTTTTCGCGGGCGCGAAATGGGCATATCTGCGGTTTTCCTACCCTTGTGGTATGCGAAGGGCAAAGATATCGGAATCGATCAGGAGAGCGCGGCTGCAACCGACTATATCCTGTCACACCAGGTTGTTGGTATCCTTGGTCTCCCGGAACTCGACCTAAATCGTCTGGGACCTCCTTACAATACGTGGACGCGCTTCGATGTGACCAGGGAGCAGCGAAAGACTTTCATGGCCCGCTCCGATATAGTACTTCTTGCGCAGGACTTTCGGTTTCCCCAGCCCGGCGACCCCGATTTCGATTATGATATGATTATGGAAAGGGAGAGAGAAGTGCGCCAGCAGTTTCTTGATATGGATGGTCTGTATTGGGTTGAAGAGGCGGCAATTCTACCCGAAATGGAAAAGGTGGAATACCTCCGTCCGCTGCTTGGCGAGATCAAAGATCCTAACAAGAGGGAACGCATCCGGTTCAAAGGCATCAGTTCGCCGCGGAGGGGTATACGGCAAATGTTCGAAGAAATGAAGGCTGCCGACGCCGCGATAGCTGCTGAAAAAGCGAAGGCTTCTGAAGGAGCGAAGGCTGTCGAACAAGCGAAGGATGTTGAACAAGCGAAGGCTGCTGGAAACACGAAGGCTGTCGACGCTCCCGCTGGTAGTGGTGCTAGCGCTGGGTGACCTCTGACCGGAAGGATCCTTATCCCTTTTTATTGCAGCTTGTGCTATTCCTTGCATGCGTGGCTATATTGTCTATAGTCTGTTGAAGCCGTTCGATGTACAATTACACGAATATGGAAGAGGGAGATGACGGACATGAGATGTATTCTTGACTTGTGGAAGAAGCCGTTGCACGAGAGGGTCTTATCCCGATGCAGTGAAGGCCACCACTTTGACGAGCCACAGATGGATGGCCTGTACGTAGCATGATGGTCTCGTGCATCAATAGTCTTACAGAATCCCATCCATTTGATGATACCAATTGTTCATTGTGTGGTACCGTACGATGATTTGATGTACCCTGCAAATGCAACGACGCCGTCTTGCTCGACGCTCCACAGGTATCAAATGACCATTTGCCTCGATGCATCGAGCCTTTTGTAACTGTAGAAGTGATAATATCTGACAGAAGGTTCTCCAACACGTTCGAAATTTCTTACAAGATATTCTTAGCATAATCACGTGAATCGAGGTCGCCAAGCTCTCCCGCGTCCCTAGGTAGGGCTGCAGGGTTCTGTCAACCCCACCTGTGTTGCTGTCAACTGACCCCAACCTTTCCACCCAGCTAAAACATCCTGCTCCCTGTGTTGGCGTCATCTCCTCCGCCGCTCCCACGGGTAAGCTACCAAAAAAGGTCTCATTGCAATAATACTCTGTTCGGTTTTCTAAGCGGCACTGGTGGGTACTGTGTAGCGTCCCTTTGAGGACGGCGCTTGGAAATCATGTTGCTGACGTTGGGCTCAGATCTGTGCGATAGTCTGCTACCACCATGGACTCGATGCGGAGCCTCAACAGGTCACTCCCTAAGGCGAGGCCTCCGAAGCCATCTCCGGAATCTCTGCAAGCCTTCAAGGACGCTGCAATGTCCGTCACCAGTCTCTACCGATGCGCCATCGCCGACGCTGAAAGGTCTCGGAGCGAAGGCTATCAGGAGGCTCTAGAAGACCTACTCAATTTCTTGGATCAGAGACACCTGGGCGAGTCTACAGGAGAGGGCCTCCTTGTCCGCCAGTGGGCCCTTGACAGGTTCGACTCGCCTGGAAATCAGACAGCGAGCGAAAGCGACGAAGATACCGACGACGCCCGCGGACGTAGCTCTTCTCCTCCCCCAGAACCAAACGCAACGTCCGATCACGCAGAGCCTTCCGACAATCACACTATCGATCAGAATACTACGACGCCGGTCGAAGAGAAGGCGGACACAAACTTCCAGCCTCCTCAAAGCATGTTCCAGTTTTCTTCGCCACACCCCTACCCAAGCTCCAATGCCGCCAACCCCGGCTCGGATCCAGTCGCCCGTCGCAGTGGCACCCCTCGTCGATCAACAGCGTGGAGGCAAGCTGGACAGAATCTGAATCTCTTTTCTATCGGAGCTGGAGCGGGGCAGAAGCGGAAAATCATGCAAGAGTTCTTCGACGTTTCCGGCTATGGCGGCGACCGGCGAGATGCGAATGGTGGAGGTAAACGATCCCGGATATGAAGCTCTTCTCGGACCGATTATATCGCTTGAACGCTAGATTGCCGTCGCACACGTCGCTACCGTCCAAGATCCGTACGTCAAATGCCCCTGACTAAAAGGTCTCCGATGGGCCGAATACGCGTCCCCCCCGCACGCATAGGTGCTAATCCGCCGTTGAGACACACGGGCGTTCACTTCTTCTGACTTCCATGCGATTCGAGTGCATATGCAGCTTTTGGAATGCGCGTCACCGGTACCAGCATTGTTTCGGGGATGCAAGGCATAGAATGGCGAGAGCGGTTAGGCTTGCGGATGCATTATGATACCCATATGTCATAGAGACGGCGTTTTCCTGTACATAGCTTTTGTAGATAGCAGCGACTTGGAGATGGAGGCGTAGGTGGAGGAATATATTTTCGGTGTTCTATGATGGAGAGATATGGTGTTTCTGCTCATACAGGCCATACATTCAACACCAGCGATTCTAGAACCTGGTTTCTTCGCTGAAGCGACAAATACACATCTATCTTACAAACTCCGATCCTTGCAGCTGCACCAAAGGCCGACCTTGCATTTTGTATTGGGTATTTCCATCCAGCCACTGAACGCCCTTTTACCATGTGATGTTTCTTTTCGCCCGACAATCCCAGTCTAAGCAAACCATCTGTATACACCCAACCCGACCAAACCGGCCGCCATGCCCGTCAATCCGACCCGTCGAGGTGCCATGCCAAACCTACTTCCGCTGGCCTTGATAACGGATTCCTGCGCCTTCAACTGCGAGTGACCGGAGACATATGTGTATATGCCGAGGCCAATGAATGCTGCGCTGCCTGTGGAAAGGGAGAGTCAGTGACCGTGAAAAGTGGGTGTAGGACGTCTTCCCTCACCTACTACCCGGCAGGGTGTGCAGTCGTCGAATTGTGCTTTGTCTTCTTTGAGGGCCTCTTTGAAGGTTGGCGCAGGCGGTGGGCCGGGAAGAAGGGAGGTTTCCTTCGCCATAAGCGTGGCAAGTCCGTGGCTTAGGGATATAATTAAGATTGTGGTGAGGTGCAGGTCAGGACGACAACGAAATCCAGCAGGAGCCGGAGCCAGGCACCCCTGTCGTGAGGCGCGTCATCGGACGACAGCTCTCCAACCCCACTGCGTCCCAGACAGGAGCTCTGCGCACAAAATGACTGCCATAGAAGCTCTGTACATCTTTGATGAGCACAAGTAAGGCTCGGAGCCGGCGCAATGAGGTATTGCTAACCTTCTTCGCAGCACACCCCTCCTCGAACACGTTTACACCGGTCGTCCTTCTCCTGGCAGTACTGTTCTTCCCCTCTATCTCTCGCACCCTTCTCCGCGGCCCTCCCTGATATATCTCCCAAATACGAATCCTCCGACGCTCTTGTATTCGATCATACAAGACCAGCTTTTGTTCCTTGCGCCATGCTCGACCGACGGGGAGCCACTAGAGGTGTTAGAGTTTCTACACCGCGTCGCTGACGTGCTTGAGGACTACCTCGGGTCGCCGCTCCTGGCGAGCAAGATAGAGAGCAACTACGATGTAGTGGCGCAGCTGCTGAGTGAGATGGTGGATGGGGGGATTATATCTTGTACAGAGCCGAATGCATTGCGGGATTTGGTTGAAGCCCCGACGTTCATGAAGAGCCTGCTGGGAGGTGTGGGACTCCCAAGGTACACCATGGCAATCGCTGCGTGATGCTATTCTAGCAGACTTGCTGACAAAACCAGCACGACACCCTCTTCTCTCGCACCCTCAGCAACACCGTTTTCCTTGTCCTCCCGCCCTCCAATCTCCGGTCGAACCTCCCCCGGCGGAACTCAAACCAGCTCCCCAGTGCCGTGGCGGCGTGCCAACGTCCGACACACTTCCAACGAACTCTACGTAGACATTGTCGAAACCCTCAGCGTCATAATCGCCCCGTCTGGCCGTCCCCTCTCCGCAATTGCAAACGGAACGATAGCATTCACATCCAAGGTCTCCGGAGTACCGGACCTCTACCTTCAGCTAGGCTGTCCAGGCGGAATAGCGCATACCATGGCGCTGCCAGCGTTTCATCCCTGCGTCCGACTGAATAAATGGCGAGATCGTCCGGGGGACTTGTCATTCGTGCCTCCAGACGGGCGATTCGTACTCGCGGGCTACGAAGTTGACCTCCTTGGACCTGCTGCCCTCGAAGCCTTCTCCACCTCTACGAAACGTGGAGCCGCGCCGAAACTCAACATCCCCGCCACTGTCTCTATCCTCACGTCTCTCGGCCCCACGGGCGCAGACTTCGAAGTTCGCCTCACACTAAACCCACGGTACGCGGGCAAGCCTCCCAGTCCCTTACCCAGCGCAACCGGATCTTCATTCAACCGCGGGGCCGGACTTGGAAAAGGGCTAGGTGCACCCGGCTTCGGCGCGAGCGTTCAGGGGACAACAGCGGCGCCTACGATTGAAGAAGTTGTCGTACATATTCCTCTTCCCGCATCGGTGAAGAACGTCGTTGAGCTGCGGATTAGCAAGGGGGCGGGGGATGCGGGATATGCCCCCGGAGACCGCAGTATCGAGTGGAGGATAAGTAGTAGGGAGGTTGGGATGCTGATGGCGCAGGATCGCGGCACAGGCGTTGGGTGCACGGCGACGTTATGCGGGACCGTAGTGGGTATGGGTGAGGATGAGGGCCCACTGGATGGCGGGCCTGTGGGTACGTCCAATACGTACGACTATGACGAGGAGGGCCATACGACCTCGTATCAAGGGCTTGATGATGACGACGCGGTGGCTGACCAGAAGAAGAACGGGACTAATTCGGACGCGAAGAGGATCAAGACGAATAAGGTGCTCATGCCGTCGTGTGCGACGGTCAGCTTCTCAGTGAAGGGGTGGCTGCCGAGTGGGATCAAGGTGGAGAGTTTACAGGTGGATACCAAGAGGAGTAAAGGGTTGGGGGCCGGGGTCATGCCGTATAAGGGGGTGAAGTATATCTGTGTCAGTAAGAAGGGGGTGGAGAGTCGGGCGTGAGGCAGAGGTTGTTGGCGAAGGATATACAAGAGTTCGCCGCATATAGAGCTTCACAGCCGGAGTTAAGGCATTTATAATTGTAAGCACGAGCCCCATGTGCGTACTTCTCGACTTGGATGTCCGCTTACTTGTCTCAGTCCCATCTTCCGACATTATACCTGTTCACCGGCATGTGCGCCCTCGAGGAGCTACTTGAATGCATAGAATGCACAAAGGCGTAGGAAAGTCCTCAGCAATGTCGGCCATCAATTGATGAGGCAGCCATTACTACTCCACTCTTTACAATGTACGTTGCATTGTACGGTACCTAGGTAGGTCCACGAGTATGTCGACGGATCACATGACCGACTGGAGCAGTTAAAGAAGTCGTCCACGCAGCACGATCCGATATTGCAGCAGCAGCAATCTAAATCTCCGCTCCGCTCTGGGAATGATCGAAGCACTTGGAGCTTCCAGTCCGCCCTCTGAACAAGTCAATAACACTCCGCCTGAGCCAAGAGGCTCTCAAGCTTGGTCACACAAGGACAGAAGGTGCGATCGCCCCATGCTATACACCAGACTCACCGACAAATTGGTAGGAGCCGCGGAAGGCACTAGCGGAGATACTTTCTCCCTTCTGCTCTCGTCTTTCACTCCTTGACCTCTCACCCAGCTACAATGTCCTAACCTTTCACTACACTCGCAAAATGCGATTGGCCCTAAATTCTACATCATCAACGCCTGCTCAATTTCATGCCACCGCCCTGCCCTGTCGCCTCTGACATAAAAAGTCTTCCGTCTCCACCGCCGTTTCTATCCACAACCCCCACCCTCGACACAACCCACAACTGCATCCGAGCCCCAACCCACTCTTGAGAGCCTACCTCAGCAAAAGCTCACTCCAATATACTCTCACGATACTTGCCACCGCTCGCTCATTTCCATCATGGCGATGAGTTGGGCAGACATGGCTCAAGCCGAATTCGACGAACCTCATCCTGTGATGCCAGCTTCGAAGATTGGCACCCAACCAGCTTCCCAGCCTGCAACCAGCGCTTGGACGCAGTTCACCACCAAGCGAAAGTCCTCCAGCGTGACCACGAACGGAATGATGAACGGCATCAAACCTGCCTCTACCGAAGCATCACAGTCCGACAAGTCCACTGACTACCTCGCCATGGTCGAGGCCCAGAACAAGCGTCTCGAGGCATTGGAGGCCGAGTCCAAGAAGAAGGACGGCTATATTGCCGAGTTACTCGCCAAGGTCGATAAGCAGGTTCTTTTGATTCAGCAGTGTCAGGACGATGCCGCCGAGCTGGCTCGCTTGCGCACTTATGTTGATGAATTGCATGCTCATGTCGATGAGCTCCGCCGCCGCCTCGAGGCGCATCTTGATACCGATACGGATAGGTGCTCGACTGGCAAGTCTACGAGTGCCACTCTCGAAGATTCGGTTGCTCAGAGCGTCAAGGATACTGCGGTGACGGATGATGAGAAGAGCGCTGACGAGAAGACCGTTGCCGTCGATGCGAATGACTTTGTTGATGGTCCCCAGGACCTCCATAATCTTCCTGACGAGCCCAATCGTTCCCCCAGCCCTCCTTTGCAGCCTGAGGAGGAGATTAGGGTACATACTATGGAAGAGGAACCTCAGGACAAGACGGCCGATACGGATGCTGTCCCTAAGCCATCGCCCACCGCTTGGGGCCTCAACGCCGACCTCCCTCCCCTTCCGAAGCCCTGCCGCGCTGAGACAGAAAATGTGAAGGCACCTCCGAAGTTGTCCATTCCCATCACGAACGGCGGTAAGATTGAAACCAAGACGACCACCGCCTCCTGGGTTTCGAAGATCGCGAACAGTGCCGGTTCCTGGTCTGGCGATCAGCCCTCTAAAGATTTGCGCGACATGACCATGGCTGAGCGTGCAGAGCTCTTCCGTGGCCCCTCTATCACTGTCATCGTGGGCACCGAGCAGATTCGCGGCTTCCCTAAGCACATGTTCATGGCGGCCTCCTCCAAGATTCGCGATTACTTCGTGCGCAATCCTACCGAGACGTACATCGCATTCAAGGCTGGTGCCGTGGCAGTCCCCGTTATCCAACTCCTGAAAGAGTATTTCTGCGCCATTGGCTCACACAGGAGCGTCTTCAGTCTGAAGTTGCGCTACAACATGCAACAGGATCTCGCCATTCGCCGCGACTGCATCTACCTTGGAATGGAGAAGTATGTCGCCCACTTCACCCGTCAGTACTGCGACAGGGTCCGCGAGGGCGCCATCGTTTTGGAGGATATTGCCCTGATTGAGAAGAATACCACCGATGACGATAGCCTGTGGAACTGTCTGTGCAACAACCTCGCTACCATGCATGTTCGCAAGACGCTGCCGGAGCCGGAGAAGTTTGAGGAGTTCATGGGGAAGCACCCTCGGTTGGCTCAGTCGATTGGTAGGATCGAGACGAGGCTCCAGAAGCATGGGAATAGCAACCGTGAAGGTGGGCGTACGAACTCGGAGAAGTCGAAGGTGAAGGTTCCAATCAAGAAGGCGGTCATGACGAAGGCGAGCAAAAAATCAGATCCGGAGCATGCGCAGCGTGACGGCGATGGTGCGTCTAAGAAGGTGAGTGTTTAGGAGCGCTTCAGGCTAGGGAGGAACAGAGAGGTGTGATAGGAAGAGAAGTCGGAGGTATGCCAAAACGGCGAAGCGCGACGTCCGGCAAGAGCAGGGGTATGATATGAGCGCGTTGGTTTGGATGGACTGTGGACTGCAACGAAAAATGAGGAGTCATGGCATCTCCTCCGTATTCAAGATGGACGCGTTTGAGCGAATGGCGAACATGTGACGTGGTCTGGTATGTGTGCGGGCTTACGAAGGAACCTGAGCGTCCCTGTAAATGGTAGACGGTATTCGATACACAATTTTCATTCCCTATAGTGCCTCTTCTACCTTCCAGTGAATACCACCATGCACTTCTTCTGCACTGATGTCTCTCATATTCGATTCAAGAGGTGGAGTGCAGCAATATACCAAGAGTTGCAACCAGCTTAACAGCGCCTCTATGTACGTACACCAATCTCAACAGGGAAGCTCTACATGTAGCACTATTGGTGGTAACAATCCATGCTTTGCTGGCTGGCTAGGCACTCTCATCTTCAGGGGAATTGCATGGAGTTGTTTAGTCAGATCGGTGTAGAAAGCCGGAGTAGGGACTTGGCCCAGCCCTACCTATGACTACATCTGCATTAGGTACTCGCACGAGTAAGTTCTCCAGGGCTAGGCGACCTTTCCGAACGAGCAATACTGCGGTTCTCCTCGTCCGACTAAACACTTTGCTGCAACTCCAGGAGGTAAAAATACTAACCCAAGTTGATTAGCTCTAACTAAATAATGCTACGGGGAAAGGTTTGCTTTATTAATAAATAGAAGTTACATTACGTAGACAAAAGGCGCGCTACAAAGCTAATTGTAGGGCATGCTATATTGTTGCACCTATTAGCTGTTTGGATAGACGAAGGAAACGGCAGTACGGAGGTGCTCCAAGAAAGTAAGGGCCGGTGCCAAGAGACGCCAAACCCGAGGAACATCAAAACTTCCATCTCTGCTGTATTCATCTAGCTCTAGCGCAACGCAACAACGTCCTTATTTTTTAGAAATTACATATTCCAGAAGCTTAACCTGCAAAGAACATTATTGCAGTAATTAAATTTGCTAGTTACGTTGTTGTTGTGAGGCTGTTTTACATGCTGAAGCTAGCGTTTCTTGGCACTTATTACGTGAGCGGCCCTTACTTTTCTGGAGAACCTCCGTACAGAGGAAATGCATAGGGGTGCTTAGTTGTGAAAAGAAGCAGACGAACGACGTTCTGGGATCCCTAGTATTTGCGGAGGCTGAACATCCTTGCTCCCAGCCACTGGGATTAGAGAAGATTATTGTGTAGTACATGCATATACATGCATATGGTAAACTTGCTTTCATGCACCCCTCACGCATGTATCCCAAGAACACGACGGAGTTTTTGGTCTGGATGTGGCGGGGACGGGGATGTTGCTTTTCTCGGGCAATGTGAACCCGATCATAGCAGCTAATATATAAAGGCCTCGCTCAGTGTCTGCGAAAATAAAACCACAGAATTCGCCTAGGAACTGTGCTAATCCTTTCTCCGTCAAGATGGCAAGTTCATCCATTGGATCGTGGTCCTTTCACCCCCTTGTGACTTCCTTTCCTCCTACCGTGCTCCCCAACGTCGGGTACTGGAACATCACGAATGGAACGTGGGAATACCAAGTGCAGATTTCCTGGCCATTGAATTGGACATCTACGGATGTGCAGAGTCATGTCAACACCTTGTAAGCCTTCCGTGAACCGTCTTCTCTTCCTTCTCCTCTATGCTTCCGGCCGGCAATACATCTAGAAACCCATCATACTCACCTCAAGACAGATACGTCCTCGACGGCAACGCCCTCGCCGGCACCGCCACCGAAGCCCTCCGCAAGCGTCGCCCCGTCGACTCAACCCAACCCGACACCATCGTCGTCACCATCGGCTACCCTTCCCTCCTGCCCGACTCGCCCTACTCCCAGGGCCGGTACTACGACTACCAAATCCCCGTCTGCGCCAACTGCACCACGCCCACGCTCCCCGGCGTGCCCTCCAACGCTGAAAACTTCCTCATTTTCCTGGACGGCGTGCTGAGGCCCTGGATCACGAGCCACGTGTTCGGCGACGGCGTCACCTGGGGCCGTGATGCATTGTTCGGCCACAGTTTTGCAGGCTTGTTCGCCGTGTGGGCGTTGATTGTCCGGCCCGAGTTGTTTGATGTGTATCTGAGTGCGAGTCCCTATTTGATCTGGAATGAGGAGTACATCTTTGATCTGTTGGGGGCGTTGAAGACACCGAGACCAGAGAATGCGAATGGGAATACCACGCCTCGCCTCCCAGCTCTACAGCTTAGCTACGGCGCCCTGGAGGGGCATCCGCGGAAGCGCAGGACGGAGACGGAGGCCGAGTTTGAGGAAAGAAGGGCGTTTTTGAGCTCACTCAAGACGGAGACTTTGATCAAGAGGTTGTTCAAGGAGGTACGGGATAGTCCGAGGCTGAGGCATGTCGAGTTGCTCGAGTATCCGAATAGTTATCATGCGGCGGTGGGTTCGGCGGCGTTGTGCGATGGGGTGGATTATTTTCTGGATTGGTGAGGGGGAGGTTGACTTGAGTTTCTTGGGGCTTGCGGGGCGGGCCTTGTGTGGTAGAAGGATTTGGAGGGGCGGCAGGAAATTAAAGGCAACATGTACATTCTTAAGGTCTACTACTTCACCCCAGGTCTCGGATGAAACCCTGAATTAGTGGGGGAAGAGATTCCGTTTCCTACTTAGAATTGCCTACTCTATACAACTTGTTACAAAAGCAGAGAAAGAACGCAAGTGGAACTAAGCCTCCTGCTTACTATTATTTTCTAGACTGTTTCTTAGCATTCTAAAAGAAGCTTTCTTAGAGCTAATTGCTAATCCTTTTTCCTTAGAATACTTGTTAAGTTTTGTACTAGGAATCTACTACTGTAGATAACTTGTTATAAACAATAAAGGAGAATTAAGCCTCTTGCTTAGTATTACTTTATAGAACCTCTCTTTAGCACTCTTAAAAGGTAGATTATTAGCAATACGATACAAATGCCTCTGCAACCCTACAACGGCATATTGTTAAGTTGTAGGCCTAGGAACTACTGCATCTCTTTAGGTCTAACTAAACAGTAGGGGATTGCAGCTTATATTGTAACGCTATAATAAGTTTAACATAATTCGTCCAAGGATAATTAGTCTTAAAACTTGGTACTCTTGTAGCGTACTTGTACCGTAACTGATAAAAAATGCTTGCATTGGGTATTCTGACTTAGAGCAGAATAAGGGGGTGTTTAGTCAGATGTAAGAGGGGCCAGTATAGAATAAATGGACAAGGTAGGCTCTCGTATCATTCAAGGAAACTCGTAAAAATCCACTGTTGCCATTCTGCGGAGGACCCGACCTCCTCAGATGATTCCGCCTCGCCTGCGCGCTTCCCAAACTGAACTATGCTGAGCCCATACCAGCGCCATCCTGACGTGGATCTCAACCATCACATATCATCTTTCCCATAGCGCTGTTTGCCCTGCCGACGTATCCGACTACCGGTTCACGGTCGACGCTTGTGCCGCCGATGTGGTGATGTGAAGAATGGTAAGAGTGGTGGCTTCTCACTCTCATCCCCAACACGATTCTCGCTTGGGACTCTACTCTCTCCAGGTTGTCTGGTTACCAATGGCGAGTTGGGCTGGTTGGTTTCGACGTGTCCCGCACCGATAGTGTCGCGGGATTGCTGGGCGTTTTCGTCTGCGTTAATGGGCCGATCATGTTGCATAGTGTTTTGGCGTTTTCGCGCCGAGTCCGCCCCTCCTGTTGGACTGAGTGGACGTTTACGGTCGTTCCCCAGGGTCTCAGCGGGAGGTAAAAGCGATGAGAAGGCGAGGTCGATGAAACTTTCCGAGAAGCCCATCCGAGAGAGTAGGTCCTTCTGGCTCTCCCCTCCCGTGTCCTCGGCGATGGCACGGAGCCTCTCTAGAGTCTTCTTCTCGCTGAGCTGGTCTTTGTTATACGCGTCGAGCGAGAAGCGGGGGTTCTCTCCACCGACGATGTCGAGCATCTTCGATTTTGCATTTGTGACCTGCTGATCGAGGATTGAGAGAACCGGACTTATTGCCTTGTCCAATCCATCCTTGAACCACCGAATGAATGGATCGTCGTACGGGAGCGCAAAGGCATTAAGAAGCTCCTGCTTCGTCCGAAGGGCGTCAATCGCGTTGCTGTATGCGAGAAGGGCAGCCCGAACAGTAACCCGAGCCTCACGAACGAGAGCCAGGCGTTCTTTAGCCTGAGCCTGCTGCTCTTTAGACTGAGCGGCCTCTGGTTCAGCGCGATTTGTTGCAGATGCAGATGCGATGGCATCAAAGTCGCGATTGAGTTGTGTCCTCGCGGCAGACTCTCCCGACGGTGTATCCATGGAGTATATCGATGCGCTGAAAGAGGGAGATGCCGTAGGTATGTGTGTTTTCTGGGAAATAGATGTCAGAACGCAAGACTGAACGGCCGCGTAGCACCACTTATATCAGAGTGAAGGCGAAGAAAGTTAAAGAATCTTGGCGTGCGCTGCAGTTCACCGCCCATCGGCCATCCACTCGCCTTTCCTCTCCAACCGTTCATAAACTCTCTCACAATTTCTCTCACGATACCTGAAACCAAATTCAGAAGGTAAAACTTGACGTGGGCCGCTGTTCACGGCCTAGCACTTAACGGCTATCCGCTCACCTTCCTTCTCCAAACCTCCGCCAACTCCCTCACGATTTCTGGCACGATGCCTAAACACAACCTCATCCCTTCGTCTAAGATGGCGGTTCACACAAGCCGGGCGTTCGGTTTCGATCAAGGCTGCCAGGACTCCGACGACCAGCACGGACACACCAACGGAACTCTAGGCGTCCTTCCCGAGCAGCAGACCGTCAAAGAGTCTCCACTGAGGCACGAAATCATAAATCCGGATATGGTCCACCAGATGCAGGACTTCACTGGAATAAACCTTTGGCAACACGGCAATGTTTTGTAGGGTTCATATATAAGCTCATAAAGTGAGCCATACCACTGTCCCGTCTGCTTCTACTAGGTAGAGGGTGTCCCTACACCGCGCTTCATACTCGATTCGGTGGAGTGCGCGAAGAAGTCAGTCATATCCAATTGAGAATAAACAAACCACTTAGATCTTCCTGAGCTGAAACATTGTCATGACTGCCTCAATAATCAAAATCCTCAAACTCCACATCTTTTCCCTCCAACCACTCCAACAAAACCTTGCGCAGCCCCTTCGAAGCGCAAATATACCACTTATTCGAGCCATTTAGACCATCCTTCGTTAGCCTCTGTTTTCTAACCGTGGCTCCTTGCTCATCTATTTTCTTTATTTTTTCATTCACATCTTCGAAATCTTTGTATCCGGTCAGATATACCTGCGTGCGCCGTGCCAGACCCGGATACCGTTCAAAGACGTCAGCGACAAAATCGATGTCTTCTGCGCGGATCGACCAGAACAGGTTGAGCTTTGTCAAGTGATCTTCTGAAAGCGATGGCCATTGGCTAAGTAGTGGCGTGATACCAACACCGCCAGCTACGAAACTGATTTCCTTTTCATTTCGCTCTATGTAGAACTCTCCGCCCACACCCAGAACTGGAATTTGCAAGCTTCCTATATCATTCGTTCTGAAGAGGAAGCTCGTCACGGGACCGACTTTGCGAATTGTGATCTCGAACTCTTTGCTCATGTCGGGCTCTTCGTCTGGTTTCGACGATATCGTGAATGTTCGTATGAAATCATCGTTCAGGCTCGTCGGATCATCGTCCCGCATGTGTGAGTATCCCATATCCAGCTCTTTCGAGAAGTCCAGGGCAACCCATTGACCAGGCTTATATGAGATGCCTTCGGGAGTGGAAAACCTGAGACGAGCGATGGTTGGGGTTATCAACGTCCTATCGATGAGCGTGGCGGATTGACGAGGGCATGAGGCATACGAGGCCTTGATATTTCCTTCGGAAGCTAGTGTTCTCACGGCTGGGTTATATGGCGAAGGCGTATTCCTGATTCCTCGGAAAGGCAGACCAGATGCCACATACCGGACTTCCTCGGTAGTTATCTTGACCGCCAGATTGCTTCCTGGCAGTAGCTTCGCCGCATCGTCCAGTACCAGAACCTCCGCCGTGCCCGTCATGTACAGCACATCGCCAGTGTCGTAGTTGGGAAACACGAGGCCAATGCGCGGGTTTATCTGCAGGTTGCCCAGACTTTGGTAGAAGCGATTGCCGGAGTATTCCGGGTATACGATTTCAGTGTCGGAGAGAATTCGGACAAAGCCTGCAGGGCCACCCCTGTGGTTCGTATCCATATCTGTTGGCGTACTGGTGGTGAGAAAGAACATGTCCGCTTGAGATATCAGCGTTTTGGCCTCGGCAGAGAGCGAGGGCGATTGAGATGTGAGCTTCGACGTGACCAAGGTCGGCTTGAGTTCGTATTGGTTCAGGTACTTTGGGCAGTTTCCCAAACTCTGCTCGATGTTCGTGACAAGTTGAAGCTGGTGCTGCGCCCGGGGTACTCCATCCTGCTGCTGTTCATCACCTTCGACTTGCACTTTGGCTTCCCCTAAACTCGCAGCCAACACGCGACCAAACAGTTTGACCCTTTTCCTCATCATCAAGTCAATGGTTAGCCCCGAGACCATCTTGTCATTCCCCTGTATCATCTCCCCATTCGTCGTAGCTCCACCAGCCAGTGCCTGAACCACGGGATCTTTTTCCCCATCGACAAGCGTCCGGGTTCCGATCATCTTACCACCGAGATGTTCGGAGAATCCAGTTTGACCACCCCATAGAGTTGTCCATGGCCTCTCTTGTGAATCTAGAGTGCCAATGGCCAAAAGGGGTGCACGTTGGAGGAGGTACATTGCTTGAGGCGTCAACGTGGTAGCCGTAGGGTTTCCACGCTCCGGGACATGCATGAGCTGCTGCATCCTTTCTTCGCCTTCGTTCCAGGGCATCGCCATTGTGAAGAACGCCATGGCGAATGTCGAGCTTAACGCCGGACAAGAATGGATAGCAAGTCCAAGGAAGCCGTAAAGTGGTTTACGAGCCCTGTAGTCTGTCCTCCAGAGCACTTCTAGCTGTGGCTTTAAATCCCCGGACGATTGCGTCCTGAGACGATGTCATTCTAGGGCGTACACGACCGTCCGTAGGTTCGAACAGCTTTGTAAGCATTCTGACGTGACGGCACGATGCCGCTGGTACATCCCATCCCATTGGCATGATGAACAGAAGGATTTATTAGTAATCAATTCTCGGCCGCGGGGTTGACTGAAGCTGCTGGCCATGGGTGGACGTGAAAGGGCGAGCCTGACGCAGTAGGAATCCCATTAATCAATCTATTAGATGCAAAAATGCTGCGAGTTCTTGGCGCATCTCTCTCCGCATTTTCCCCCCATCCTCTGTACACACTAGATCTATAGCAGCGCTACAACAACGTAAAATAGAAGGCGAAAACTTATAGTTATAACGTACCTCACGGGCGAGTCGGTC